TATTCTCAGTTTATCTTTGTGACAATGGCGTGTTTCGGGGTCCCACCCCATTCCCCTAAACGGTTCTGGAATTTTGACACAATCTTAGAGAGGAGTTCATGCATTATTTGGGTTACGTAATCAAACCAGTCTATAGTGAAATGGTGAATAAAAGTTGATAACCGCACCCTCTCAAAATGTGAGGGCTATAAGAATTTGCAAAAATTAGCAACTTCCCAAAATTCTTTTGAACTTGACTAATGTCCAACCATTTTAGAAACTGTACGCCCATATGTTACTGCACTAAAAAACGTAGCGGACTGAAGGCGAAGCGGCTAAATGGGGGCGAATTTTTTTGGAAATTACATGGGTTATGAAACTGTGCGAGTGATCTGTTTTCACTTGTTGATAATTAAAATAGTCTTTTTATTTTTTGAAAACTAAAATATTCTTCAATTCTGTGGGAAGAATTCTGGGGGCGTTACAAGTCTTTTTTCAAAATCTCGTGGTTCTGGTTCGTAAATTCCGGTAGGCAACCGAAAGCTTTCCGGAGATCATGGCTAACGCCTCTCTTCTTCCAAGTAAAAATTTCCTTCGCGTTTCTCCCCCAAATAGAATTTCTCGAGCCATTGTTGAAAATCGATTATTTGTGGGTGATACCTACTTGTTATTAATTCACATCACTTATTTTTGTCGACCTGGCCTAAGTCATTCAAAGGTTGGCAGGAACCGCTTCAAAACCGTTTTCGAACCGTACCATTTTATTCTGTGCTAGCATATTTGGTGAACCCATTCTCAGCTTTGTCTCCAAAATCTTCGTACGATTCTAGATGCTTATCATAAGAAAGAGGTAATGCTGCTCTAAATCTGCGATTTGCTTTCTCAGTTTTCTTCTTTTTCAGAGTTTTTTTTTTCACCACCATAACTTATTTTTGATGAGGATAACTCACATACTTTTACTCACATATTCATCTGATTTTTTCTGGCAATGAGCGTCATGCTCAAACTACAACCTTCAAATTACCGTAAAAACATACGAAAATTGGGGTATGTAAGGTGAGCTTTCATGTTGTGGGTAACTGCAGTTTTTATCTATATAAAAATAGAACATGTGGTGTAAAGATATCAAGCGCTATGACCAATGTGATCAGGGTTCGCCCCTGACAGTCTAAGCTCTCAAAAGGGCTTTGGCCAGCTGATCCCTACAATTTTACAGCTTGCGCATTTCTAACCTCAATTTTTTCAAATGGTTAAAAATGATGACAAAGGCACGTCAAACAATTCTAAAAATATTATTGAGTGGTTCTATCCAAAAAGTCAACAAACGAATACTCTATTCGCAAAAATCTAGTTTTATTGTCTAAATCTTCGCTTATTTGGTGCTGCAAAACTCCAAACTGAGGTGGAACTTTTTTTATCCCCACTTAAAATCTTCCCTTTATCCCGTTATATTGGGATCATCTGCCAAACTAGTTTTCATTTTGTTGAGAAGCCAAAGATCGTAGTCATAAACCACTAAATCTATAGGGAAAACGTATATATGAGTTGCTGTTTTATAAACGTCTATTACAGAGTTTCTTACTTCCAGTAGCTAACATGTACAGGTTTCAAATTATTACAGAATGTCGCATTGAAATTTGACATAAAAAAGAACGCAGGTTATGCTGGAAAAATGCGAAAAAAATAAAAAAACATACCGAAAGATAATAATTTGCGAACGCGCTTTATTAGCCGCAGAGCGCATGAGGCGCAGAATTTACAACGGTGAGAATACGCGCGCGACGCGTTCGCGCCCGCTCAACTTATAGTGCTTCTGCGCCTTCGTCATGCAGCAGCCTTTACATGTGTTCCGAATAGAACTTTTATGCTGAACCGATCCGGTCCAAACTTGCCACATATACAATTCTGGACGGGAGGGGGGAGGGTTGGGGGGGGGGGGGTGTCGTAGGCTACTTTTCGTCATTAATCGATATCGAATTTATCAATTTTTTGCCACCACCTACAAGGTTGAGGGTCGGCATAGGGTGGTAAGTGAGCATGCTGACGAAATTATTGACAGGGCCGGGCGGAGCCGGGTCTGCCAACTATGGTGATATAAAGCTCGCTCTATGCTAAAGTATGCTACCTTATCTACTGATAGAGTATGAAATTTACCTTATGGTGTCAAAGCTTGAAACATTCAACTAGTTTTTATGCGCAGTTTCATCTATATTAGTTATAAAAATTTAAATATGCGGACGTGTTTAGATCACAAATTCGCACAGAATGCATTAATCTTGTGAAGAATATTCATGCCAGCGCAGTATGCTTCTCTGTTTAGCACATAAACATCTGGCAATTTAGATGTCTTAAAACCGAACATAGCATTTCTCTCAATAAGTCACCTTGTTATGATTACTAAATGAATTTCCTGGACAAAATCGAAAAGCACATGACTAACAGGAGCGTTAATAATAAACAGAGAAACTGCATAAGTGAGAAATGATTCGAAACAGACAAAACATTACAAAAGTTGAAAGTTTTATGAGTTTCGCTAATTTTCGCTTACCGATCATCTGCCTTCATTTGCCCGCCACATCGTGCTCACATCACCTAATTTGACTATCTAGCATAACATGCTGATCGTTTTACGTCATCCGTATACAGGAGGTTCCAATCTGAGTGTCGCAATTGATGCGGCTCGTGTCCTCGAGAGCCGCGTCGCTTGGGCCACTTGACGCGTTAAGGCAGTACCCTGGCTAAATCTCGTTCTCCAGTTTTGCTAAACCCATATCCGGAGCTTTGCTGCGCATGAAAACGGCGAAAATGAGCTTCTTTCGAAGTGCTCCATATCCTCATTCGCTGGAAAATGCCTGAAGTGGGCGGGGTCGAGAAAACTTAGAGTGATTTTAGATCTTCCAGGCGTGTTTTTGCACGTCTGGAAGATCTTCCAGACTTTAGTGTAGTTTACTTGGGGGGGGGGGGGGAAGGGGTCTGCCATTGCAACGCTGTAAAATCCCAGTCATTATCTTGCCGGGACGCTGCCTTTAAGCTTGCGCGGGCAACTGGTACTGGCTATAATATATCAAGATGCATGAGATGTGATAGATGTCGGCGAAGGCGGAACCTACTGTAAAAAATAATGTTTTCCTTTATTGCTGCTATATCCATCCAAAAAACAGAAAGTTCACAAATTTGTCGAACTTCACCTGCGAAACGGAACTGAAGGACTTTCTTCTCAAAGGTGCCTTTTTCATCACTAACAAATTGAATTTACCAAGTTATGTTTACAAAAACATTCACTGGGAAAAGAAGCAGTTTGTGATTCTGGAAATTTTCAATTTCAAACAAAAAAGCGCTTGGCTTTCAAATTTAACCTGTCTATTTTTGCAGTATAGGTCAGAATGATCAGAGCAGCGCAAGTGCTGATTTCGTATCAGTGTTCCTTGTTCCCCCCCCCCCCCCCCTGTAGTGGACTTCAATCGATTTTGCTCTGCTTCAACACTTATTTCCTATCCATTTTCCGATTATCTTATGTTTTATTGAAGTGACTATAATAAATCAAAAGATTCCCCATAGCTCCTTCAAAATAATTTTTTTCATCTTCGAATTGCTCGGGCGGAATGTAGTTTTTTGATAGATATAAACAGTCGCACATTAGAAAATGAATTTTCGAATTTTTTGAATTTTTTTAGTTATTTTTGACACATTTCCAACTCGAAATGACGAGCTTAAACTTGCGCACTACCTTCACGTTACCACAAATGCTCCCTGTATTCTATAAAAAAATCTGAAAATGTATAGGAAGCATGCGAAAAAATTTTTGAGAAAGAGAAAAAATAGAGTCTGAAGTGCATTTACATAATTTCCTCAATAGATAATCACAATAAGAAAGTTCTTCAGTATGCCAATGGATAGCCCTCTTTCCCTTCTTCGTATAGGCCATATATGAGACTTTGCCAAAGTTTCCAGAGTTTTTTAGGGAACGAAGAAAGTGTAACAAACTTATGTCACAACCCAATATTTATCTTTATCGATATAAATACATGGGTGAAAAAATTGCTTGTCAGACCCGTTGCTTGTTCTTCTCATTTATCGTCTCGAACCGTATTTGACAGCAGAAAAAAATTATCAGTCTGGCTACGTGTTGAAAGCACAAACAATACGTGTGTTGCATCACTTCTGGGCCGTTTAAGTCTCCCCTATGGTCTCGTCTGCTTCTTGACATCCCCTTCTCGATTGTCTCAGTTCGTTTCTATTTCTCATCTCTCACAGTTTCTTATCGCAAGCTTCTCCGAAACGTCTTTGTGTCTGATAGCGATTTTTTTTGCCCTTTATCGATTTGTTTAGGCAATATTGGCGAGAACATCTTTGCTACCCTTCGGCAGCCAAATAAAACACAACAATTCTAATCTACTCTCCTGAGGCTACAAAATGCACTATTCCGCCTATATTGGTTTTCCCAAGGTGAGTTACCGTTATTTGAAGCCTAGCAAAACAATTCCTTTTAAAAGGCAAATAGAGGTTCACTGGTGTTGGAATTTTCCTCTAAATTTAAACATTGCATTATGAAGAAAGCGTGAAGCGAAATAATACAATTTTGTAGGCTTCTACGGTATCGATTTTATTATAATATTGTTAATATCTTTGTTTATACTGTCATTACATAAAAGTCGTTCCCATTTTCGCAGCCATTTGAATCACAAAATGTCATCGAAATTATTTCGAGGTTGATGAGCTAATCATACCCTCGATACATAGAGCCATATATTTCGATAACCTTCACGCGCGAGATAAATAAATACAACCTTCACCTAAAAAAAAGAAGTGATCCGAGGCGAAGTTCCGGATGTTAACATCATAACTATATTATATTGAAATGAATGTGAATGAAACAAGCGTAGTGGGATACTATCTCAAAAATAGTCAGAGTCAAGTCGAAACCGAAACATTGCGTTTTATAGCCTTTTCAGGCTACAAAAAAGGTTTTGTGAGAATTTTCCCAGAATGCAGAGCTTTCTCACTTAACGTCTTTTTAAAATATGATGATGTTTCAGAAGTTCACGAAAGCTGTTGGAATTCAATAAAAACGAGAAACAGCGCTTAAATTTTGCGCTGAGAGTCCGGCACGAAAATGCTGGTCTATCTCGTTAGTGAGTATTATCAGCACTTGGAACGTTGTCAGTGCTATTCGTCGTGTCATGACGATCAGAATGATATATAATGTTGCAGGGTTCGTTAAGAGACACCGCGGAGATCAACGACCGGAGCCAAATGTTCCGTCGGCTCTGATCTGTCTCCGCTGCTCGTCTGCGTCTCCGCGCGTTGCGCGCTACCTCGCTCCTCCAAACTGAAGCGCGGGACATTTGGCTCTGGTACCCTTTTCTTAGTTGTTCAAACCCATTTTAGCAAACTATATGTCATATTGAAGCTCTTGATCTTTACTTTTATGCTGACAACGTCTCAGAAACCTTTTTTGATTTGAGTGAAAATCCAGCAAAAGCCATGTTTTCAGAAACGTTTTGTTTTTCCCCTAGTTCAACTCTTTTCACGCAGTTTTTTTGTGCATTCTATAGAACTTGCTTCTGTCCATTATGTAGACGACGATCCAACGTTTACTTCTTCGATTATGGCGGTTTTTTTTGCAAGATCGTGAAAAGTGCGTTTTTCTTTACTTTGTTCTGTTTCAGCGGTTTCGCAGCAGTTTCTTCCAACTTGGGGATTATTGCTTTGAGTAATGAGCGCAACAATCCAAACCAATGTAAACAGGAACGTTAACGCGAGGCTAAAAATCCAAAGGACGCATCACAAACCAGATTTGGCTTTAACGTGCATTCCAACTTAGTAAAAAAGAAACCTTGCGTTTTCATGAATGTTTCTTTTCTTTTATCTTCTTCTTGATAATCACCACTTGCGAAACATGACTACTTTTGTAACAGTCACGTAACCTTTGATTCAACTAGCTTGACTCAAGAAAGGCGGAACTTTGTGACCTAATTGAGGCCGCTCGCGCCCGCGACGCAGCCTTCGTCTCTGTCAGGCGCATCTGATTTTTATCTACCTTAATTAGGTCACGAAGCCCCGCCTTCCAGCCGTCAAGCCATTTGAATCAAATGGTAGAAGAAATCCGCTTTTCCTTGTTTTCCCCCATGTAGTGGATGCCTGGTCCTGGAGCGAACACCTACACTTCAAAATGCCGCCAAACGAAAGATTTCAAACTTATTACAGCATTTTTATCCGGTTTCTAAAAGTTTCTTTCTCTTTTGCGAGCTGTTTTGCATCGTTTTTCCTCACTATGTTTCTATGAACAACCTTCACTTTTTATGAGGGGAGATGTTTAAACAGCCTTTACTTTTGACGCTCTGTCTCTAGACTATCGGAGGGTATGGGACTAATTTTTCTAAGGGACTAATTATGCATGGGACTAATTTTTCCAATTTTAATTTTTTTTCTCTTTGAAATATTTTTGAGCACCATGCAAAAAATTAAGAATATCTTTTTGCTGATACAAGTCACCTCGAGAAATTACGGGATTTTTCTTCACATGCTGTAGGTAGGGCAGCAATTTCTCTATGCAGGCAATTGCAACAGAAATGAGAAATTTTTCGATGAACAACGAGCTAGATCAAAATTTTCCTTCTTAGATTTTCAGAAACCTTCGGGAAAAAAATTAAAACACCATAATCTTTTGAGATAGGTTGCACTGTTTTGTCAAAATTTTTATCACTGGGTTATACTTTGAGCACCAAAATCTTCCAGAATTCACAGTACTGAATTTGTAAAAAATTTAGAATAAATTATTTACATACCACAAACAGTATCACTCTCGTGCAAAGATGTTTTGTTTTATTCACCGACACGCTGTCCATGTCGCCGATTCATCGTGTATGTTTGTCTGAAAACAATGCAAATCTTCTTCCAAATTCATGTGCTTATTGATGATTTACCTTTCGCATAATTCAAAATTCGAACCTTTTTGAATTTGATCATCATTCCGACATGAAGGCATTATTTCTACAAATTAACTTTAGGTGATTTCAATCGTTGACATTCCTACTCCTCGGCAGCGCAAAAATTTTGAGTCAGCATGGCATACCGTATAGCATTGAATACTGCAAATATTTCAAATTCTTGACCTTTCTAGCTGCGAAATAGAAGTTTTACGCATATTTTCGTCTAAAAAACGTGAGAGCTTCGTTGATCTAGAGTACCATCCTGTTACTTTCGGTTTAATGTCAGTGCTATGAAACGGTGATATCAGCTAAGTATTGAATGTTGCTAACTAGAAAACCCTAATCAGCAACCACAATATCTTGCAAATGCAGCAAGAACAAAGACCAATCAAAACGATCCGTTGTTTGGATGGACAAGTAGTTTGCCGCTTACAATGGAAGCCTTTTTAATCGAAGCGGCCTTTCAGATGGGATGTTACACAATACTGAAGAGCATAAAACACTGATTTCAATTCTGCATTCCCTGTCTGCGAAATGTTTATAGACGAGGAGCCATGAGCGAAGCGAAAAGCATTATTGAAGCATGAATTTACATGTGCAGGTGGGATTAAAAAAAATTTCCAGCGCTGCTTCATTTAAGGGCTAGGAAGATTTTAGCAACTCATTTAATCCTAGACACGTTCACTTTTCTATAACATTTGATCTGACTGGCTTGGCGGCTGGATGGCGGGGCTTTGTGACCTAGTAAAGGCCGCTCGCGCCCGCGATCAAGCGTATCTGGTTCTTATCTAACCTTAATTAGGTCACGAAGCCCCGCCAGCCGTCAAGCCATTTGGAGCAAAGGGAGGACGCTCAGGAGGAACCAAACGCCCAACCGCCTGTATCCGCAGGAGATAATCAAGAGCGCGAGCACTGGGAGAAGATGGCAAGGTTCCAGGAGAACTAGGCAAAGAAATCAAGAGAAAAGCCTAAGAAAGTAAACCCTTGTAACTTTGCTTGGGAAAGTGTTCAAAAGAAAAGTGAGGCAATTTTGATTAACCTTTAAAATCGGCGTTTCATGGCGCATTCTTTTAGGAGGTAATTAGATGCTAAATAATATTAGTTCTTGATTAGAAAGATTATATTTCAATTTCTCAAAAACTTTGCTAGAAAACATACTTCGAAGAAACGCCTCATGCTCAAGTTTTGCAATGTCGATCAAGAGTGAATGTTTGAAAACCGATTTTGATTAACCTTTGGATATCAATAAAACCAAGTCCCCGCATCGTCGCTCAACTAAAGGGCTACTAAAGGGCTATGACAGCATGTCTTTTTGGAAATAAATTAAGATTATTTTGCACTTTTCTTAAGGCCAAAATAATTTTCAAAACTTTGACATGCAATAGTAAATCGCAAGTTCCAACTAGATTTCTTATGTTACGTGCACGCAGCGTAGGAATCGAATGGTTTATGTTTAACAAATCTTGTTTAATTTGCAAACGTCGAGCTCATCGTTTGGAAGTTTAGGCAAATTTGGAACCCCTAAGAAAATCTTACACTGATGTAAAAAAATGAATCTCATCTCAATTTTTGCCTTACCGTAGTAGAAGCACAATTTCAAAAATAATTGAAAAATGCTGGGCCTTGCCAGAACGTATTTCCGTAAGCTATCAGATCAAATCTCAGAATTTCTGGGCTATTATTGATATTTTATATCCGAATTCTCCAGCAACTGTAACAACCATATCTTCGCTTGCCCGATAGGCGTATTCCAGCTTTTCAGTTGCAAGCTTTAAGTTTGCCTTCCAAATTTCTAGCGATTTTTCAAATAAAAGAAGTCTTTTCGTGTTGAAACTTTCGGTTTTTGAATTTTGTTCTTATTTTTTATACTAGTGAAGGTCTTGAAAAGCGGAATCCAGAACTGTTTCTATTATTTCTCGAACATTTTCTTAGAAATGGGGACTTGTTACTACAAGTTTATAAGTTTCTTTGCCAGATAGTTTTGGATCATTGCCAAATCTTCTCCGCAGTGCTCGCACTCTTGATTATCTCCTGCGGATATGGCGGCACTGCCTTTTGGTTCCTCCTGCTACGCCGCCGGAGCAAAGGGTGACTCCCCTTTTATGAAAGTTCCGCAGATAAGGAAGGAGATTTGAAATTAGCGCTTTACAATTTGCTCCAATCCTAGCCAGGCCAAAATTGGCACGGCAGGAGTCCGCGTCGAGAGGTTTTCGCGCCACTTTTGCGGCTAGCTAGTCTGCTCTCTCTCCTCCATCCCGTCGCTCTCTGCGACAACGCGCATATGGAGCGCAAACCCCTAGCGCTGTAAGCGCGCAAATTCAGCCGACGGTTCGGCCTGAGACCGATTGGGGCAAACTGTATGCTCTTCAGTATGGTATACATCCCATCTAAAAAGGCCACTTCGACTAACCATGCTTCCCTTGTTGGATACTTGGGTACCACGTGGCGTGCGGACCCTACCACGTGGCGTGCGGACCCTAGCACAGTGTTTCCGCTGTTCCCTGTCCTTTGGTTCTGACATCCAGTCTTCTTGGTGAACGTCTTATCTTGGTCCTCGGTGGCTGTCGTGATGGTCATGTTCTGCTTGTGAGAATCCACTCAGATGTTCTTAGTGTCCATCCATCGTCTGTTCTTCTCACAATGTACCGGCCCGCCCATCAGTGTTTCACTTTCGCGACGTATTCCGCCGGATCACAAAGAGGCACAACCTTCTTGTATACTGCAAAATCTGACGAGATCTTGCCTGATTGGGTAATCTCCAGAAGAGTGCGCTCAGGCGCTTTGTAGCTAGTTCATAAAGCTTCCGATGTGCGGCGCTGGAAAATGAGAACCAACAGGTGTGCTCGAAGCTCCGGATCCGTAGCTGGTCGGTGGCTTCCTTCGTAGGCCTGAAGGCGGTCCACACTGCTCTCCTTTGTTAAGTTCTTCCCACAAATCGTTCTCGATGTTCATTGCAGTTTAAGATATACGTAAGAAGACGTCTCCGCATGCAGTGGTGCTTCTAGGACACTCCCGTTCGTCCTTTCCAAAGTGAAGAGCGGTCTTTGAGGTTTTCTGTAGACAGAGGTCCTTTTCTTCTGGAGGTAAGGTCTAAATGCAACACGAGAATCGTCTGACCTCATCGTCCCTCTCACAAACGTTCAGTGAGGTGGTCTAGTTCTAAAGCCGTGGACTTCACTGCGAACAACGGCATCGGCATGGGCGTTACTGAGCGGAAGAGGTGTGAAAGGTGTGAAAGTTCTTTGCGATAAATTTCATCTTTTGCTGGAAAGAATGGGGTACTTGTTCAATAGCGCTGCCGGCGATACGTGACATTCACAAGGATCCCTTCAGCACTTCTCAATAATTCGTCTTCCTTCTGATGTACCCCGCATTTTCGCTTGTCTCTACCTCTAAGGATCCACCTCCAAACTGTTATGCAGCTCCGTCCGCAAGCAATGGCTTGAGGTGGCTTGCAATCGGATCCTGTCTCAACTCTTCGTCTTCGGAAAACCTCTTGATGGTCTTTCGAATGCGTTCCAAGTTTTTCTCAGTGCACATTTTCCGCAGTCTTGCGATTTTTCAAAAATCCGTCGTTGGGCCACCCTCGATAGGCCGACACAACTTGAGCTCCTCCAGCCTGTCACCGTCATAAACGACTTTCTTCCTTCGTGCGGCGCTATGGTAGATCTTTTTTTCCAGCTTATGACTAGTCCTTTCACTCAAAAAAGGCTGTGGTCGGGGCCGCTGGTGGTTGGAACACTATAACATAGGTTCTCCGACTGGTGAAGATGTGGTCGTCTCTGCGTGCGCTGCCTGGGGCGATTACCATGTCATCAGCGTTGTCATTCTCGTAAAGATGGAATTTCCATGGAAAAGTTGTGCGGCGGGATAATACCCCACAAGACGGTTTCCGTTTTCGTTAGCCCATATCCAAATTTCCCACTCCATATTCTTTAATAGGCATCCCGATTTTCACGCTGGTTTTCTTAAGAACATCCAGTTTTGATCAGTCAGCTGCTGATGTTCGGGAGTAGCTGATGATGCTGATGCGCTTCTGATGAAGGTCGTAGACCTAGGATGGCTAGTGAAGGTGGTGGGTGCTTATGCGAATCGACATGATGGACGATAGATGAGTGGACAAAGCCCTCCAAATGTCTCGGAAATTTTCTCTCCACGAATGGGGAAAGCCCCATCAGTCAACTGTCGCAGTCTTTATTCCTGGTCTTCATTTTGCGCAGTACTTGATGTATTCTGCAGCTACGAGAAGCGCGTGTAGGCCGGTGTTTGCAGAGGCTCTCCTGGCGTTTTAGGAAAACGTGAGACAGTTTGTCGCGTCCACCACGATATCAGGTTTGGGGAAGAAAATTCAGCCGCGGAGTTTGGGGAAGAGTAATCTAGCTAGGCGGTGCATTTAGATCCAGCGTCCCTGCGAAACCTCGACAGCAAAGTTTTCAGCTTACCTTGGAGGTACCCTATATGGCCCTCCCCAACAAAGGCAGGGACCGTAATTAGACTGTTCGTGCTGGACCCGAGTGCGCTTTTCACTGTCCTTTAAACTTTCATTTCCCGTTTCTGTGATTCAGGTGCGCGGTCAAGATTCTTTACGTCCTGATATCACACAACTGCATTTTTCTAGTCCTGAAATAAGGGATTATAATAAAGAGCCCACTAGTGCCGTACTCAACAGCTGAATTTTCAATAGTCCGAAGTTTGCTTTTGTGATTTCAAGCATATCGCATAGTGTGACAAGTCGGTTCAAGCAATCGTGACTGTCTCTTGAAAGAAATAGTTTTCATAGGAGAACATGAAACGACAATCGCTGCTCAAAGTCTAACTTGAGTAAGCGCCTTGGTGTGGCACCGTTACGATCACAGTTTTTCATTCTCACTATGCTCGTGGAGGGGAAAGTTTTGGCCAAATGCAGCACTTCAAAGTGATCTCCCTTATGTCAAAATTGAGCGCATACTACGAAGAATGAACCAGACGAACCAGTCATGGTCTATACAGCATATGGTCACTACTAAAAACAAGATAATCATCAAACGTCCACTTTGCGTGCATTATGCGTTTTGATACGGGTTACCATTGTCCACTACCATAAAAAATGCACCTTCATGATCAGATGTTCAGTCTGACTTAGATTGCCTCCTTGTATGCAATAGTATCTTCTCGCAATTTATTTATCAACATCTTTTCAATGTGATATCTCTTATAATTGAGCGAGTAAGAAATGAAGTCCTAGCTAGAATTGTAAGGAAAGAACGTGTGCATGAGTCTAGTTCCAAACCATGAGAGCGCACGGAAGTTTGACCGGCATATCATAGCGGATCCTCCTGTGTTTAGGCAAATCGGGCTGCGTACTTCTTTAGTGACATCAAGTAATCTTGCTCGTGGCCAAGAAAATCGAATCTAATCTCAAAGCTCCTAGCAGGCCACAGCGTTTCTGAGTATGACAGGGCTGGATTTACAACCTCCCGGCTGCAAATAAATCATATGAGCTACAGTCTGAGTAATGAGCTAAGGGGCTGAGGATACTTCCGCGGATGTACAGTAAGGCAAACAAACCTTGAAATGCATACGTTTTTGTTTGAGAGTCACAACAACTAAAGATAAATTAGGAAAGATTCTATTTCCTCAGAAATCAATCTGACTTGTCTGCATATATCCGGCGATAGCGTTTTTGCTCCATAACTACAACAAGCTAAGTGAAGCAAAGATATATATTGATAATGCGCGAAAAATTTGCGAAATCAAGCTTCTTTGACGTGATAGCTTCTTTGATATTCTGACTTGACACGGAAACAACATTTTAAGAAGCAAAATCCACAAGGTATATCTATCAACCATAATTTATGGCATCCAGAAAAAGAAAAGTCAAAGCATGTATAATTCAACCCAACTAGTGAAGTAAAAATGCGCGTCAAATAGGGCTTGCAAAACCACAAGCATTCAAACGACGCCTCTTCCTACATACAGCGCGAATATTTCCTTCTTCGAATCTTCAAGACGTCAGCTGATGGCAAATATTTCCATCTGCTAGTATAGCAAAAGTTAGGAATTCGCGCACGCCTGATTCACTGAGACGGGCGGGAGATGAAAGCTGAAAGGAGGTGAGAAAAGCGCGCTGGGGTCCCAGCACGAACAGCATGATTACGGTCCCTGCCTTTGTTGGGGAGGGCCATATAGGGCACCTCCTTACCTTGCTCCACTGTCTGGTATTCCGAAAAAGTGTCGTAGAGTCGTTCGCCTGCACGACCGACCTAGATTGCGAAACACGCGCCGCGCGTTCACGCTTTCACCAGTGCAAATACACACTAGTCGTGCTCTTCTGGCATTTTACCTGAGCCGCGCTGCGTAATCCAAGGCCAGTCAGTGCATTTGACGACTCCACAATACTTGGAGAGCGCAAAAATGTCAAGACTGAGTTTTTCTCCAGGGTCTTTAAGCTTGAATCTGAATGCATGAAGCAGAGCCCGCCAAGGCTAGAGACTCGAAGCCGTTGTGGGGCCCTATGTTCATTAATGTGCAAGCAACTTGTTTATACTTGTGAACAAGTTAACCTTTGAGAACTTTAAAAGCTCAAACTGCCTGAAAAAATTTTTCTGTCGGGGGTGCGACCAGATTTTATGGGAAGAGGACGTGCCTGTTGCCACTCCTTTCCTCTATGGGCTCGGACAGAATTCACGCGATTTAGTCGTCACGATTCATCGCTACAAGTGTTATGTTGACCTTCTTGTATTTCGCTTGTGATAGTTACTCATGATTAGTCATGCTGGAAAACTATCACAACCGAAATGCAAGAAGATCGGCATGTAATGATATTGTTACAATTGTCTTGTCGAGATCAATCGCGACAATGAAGTCGCGTGAACTCTGCCCGAGGCCTATAATCTCAAGGTTATGAACCTCAAAGGTTCTGGAAAGGATCCCCAAGAAACCTTTCGGAGTGTGTGGATGATCACGCACCTTTTTCTAAAATTATTAGCCCCCGCCCCTCCGAACGAAGACCTGGGACCGCCACTGTGTCATATGTATTTGCACAACTGCGCGCCGGCATTAAATCGTTGCCAGTGGCAGCGCGTGAGGTAGCGGAAACAATCTTTTTTTTTGATAGTTTTCCACTAAGAACGAGGCCGCTTGCGCCGTAGCCGCCAGACACTGCGTATAGTGTGAATTATAGTCATAAGTTGCGCGTATTGGTGCAAGACCACTACAGTAGAGTTTACAAGATTTTTCCAACTCTGCAACTATCAATGGGTTATTACTGGAACATTTCATTGGTGCATAACGTTTACTTCATTTTTGCCTTTCTTTCTTAAGCTCTAGTGCTCATGCCAAGATAGCGAAGGTGGTCCTATGAAAATGCCAGATCTATTTTTGGATGTCTAATTCAGTTAGTCTGTTGTCAGCCTTGAATACTGCACACTTCTGGTCTGTTATAATGCCAGAGCACGAGATAACATCAGCAATCTTTCCACCCTTCCAAATAATCGTGGACATGTCTGCAATTTAGCGCCGCTTCTCGTGTGTCGCGCGTCACATCACGGGCTAAACACGCTGTTGGCGTAGGCAATATTTCATTGCTTGCAATCGCGTTATCGCGTCACCTTTTTACTTTTGCTCTTCCGGAACCTTTTCTGCTCTCCTCACACTTATGTCTTTTTCGTCCTTTTTTCAAATTATAATTCAATATTCAGGATAGCATGATCAGATCGATAAACCCTGTTTGGCAAGCGTTGATAGCCGGCTGCTTCACGTGGGGAGTTACAGCCTTAGGCGCGGCTTTGGTGTTTATCATGAAGCATCAAAATCGGAAATTGCTAGGTAAGGTCTTCCTTTCTTTTTTTTTGAAAGTTTGATTTTGATCTAAACTCAAAGTAAACTTCTGAACGTTTTTATTCTTCAGCTTGATCAGTAACTTGCGTTTCATCTTATGAATACCATGAATCTTTTCTAGTAATTTTGTTAAAAGAAAAAGGTTTCGTTAAGGTCTTCAATTTCATGTAATGATGACTTGTTACTTTTCAACTCATCATCTTCTGAAAGCCCCAGTTTATAGCAAAGACTTTGATGGGAATCCAAAAGAGAAATTGAGTAGATTTTCTGTCATCAGTATTTCAACTTATGACTTGCCCCTTTTCCTGACTGTTACTAATTCTAGAAATAGGAAAGAGGCTGATTGTCTGCCACGTGTAACTTTTGGGTAAAAACAGTTGGCAAGGAAACATCATGAGCATTAGCTTCCAGGGAACTAAATCAACACCCCGTAATTTCGAAATCCTCCATCTTTCTTTTTCAGACCTTAGTTTGGGTTTTGCTGCCGGCGTCATGACGGCAGCTTCGTTTTGGTCCCTGCTTGCTCCAGCTATCGAGATATCAGAGAAAACAATGGGATCGCTTGCTTTCATACCGGTGGCAGTCGGATTCGCCGTCGGTGCGGCTTTTGTGCATTTCGCTGATCGCTTGCTTCCAAGGTGAGTTTGCTATTTTTTCAGCTTATGTTTATCTACTTTCCTTTCTATATTTACCTGTGTTCGTTCTCCTGTATGATGCAGCCTTAACTTATTGTTTCTTTGGCTAAAGGCCTTTTTCTGTTATCATTGGGGGCTGCTAGATCTGCTAGACGCTTGAAACTTTTCGCTATCTCCATGATGAAATACTCTAGATTAGTGGCTCGAATCACGTGGTATATAAAAAACACTTGTTTAATAATCGGTTCTTCTGCCATGTCTTAACTTATCAATCTTCTCCTCTGGTGTCTTATCGAGGGATTTACGAAATTCCTTCTAAGTTTCGCCTGATCGGAAACTCAGTTATCTATCATGACATCCCGAATAAGCTATTTTAGTTGTGTAATGGGCGATACAGCAGTTCTGGAGTATCTGGCGCCTGCGAAAACCGAAACTCAGCTCACGCTTGTATCCGGGAACGGCCTTGACACTCCGGCTCTACGGTACGACTCTAGCGACAAAGCTAATGGTTTGCGTCATCGTGGCTTGACAAATAGGTGAGCCACCGCCCTGTCACCACCTTATGGCTCAGACACATCTCTTCACCTGCTTAAAATTAAAAAACAGCTGTGCTGCTTGGTTCGAGAACATCGGTGAACGTCGTACTGTATAATCTTTGCACGCTCTGACTTCAGTGTCAAACTGGTCTATGTTCTCGGGCGGTGGTTTTACCTTTGTTTGAAATGTCATTTACAATACGTGCCTTTACATCGCTTGTGTTTAACCTATTTTTTTCCTTTGTTCTATCTATGTGAGCATGCATGCTTTGTTTATCACCGCTTTCGACTTACTCTCTTCTTGACTATTACAGATCCGCGCGCGAGGCTCATGAAGCTCATGAAAACGAGACCGAGGAGACCGATACAGCTACAGAACTCGACAAAGAAGTACGAAGAAGGCTTGAAGAAGAATATAAATCGTCTTGGAGAAGAATTATGCTTCTGATTCTTGCTGTCACTGTACATAATATTCCAGAGGTATGTTTATCATTGGCATTCTGTTGGTCAGTTTAAGGATGCTTTCGACATCTAGGGACTTGCGGTTGGTGTCGGATTTGGCTCGGTGGGAAAAGCCGAAGCTGCCAAATTCGAAACGGCCTTTAATCTTGCCGTCGGAATCGGTCTACAAAACTTTCCCGAAGGTTTGGCAGTCTCACTGCCTTTGGCTGCATTTGGACATTCAAAATTGAAGGTAATTGTTTGCACCTTGCACCTTTATCTTATCTTTGTTTCGGTTCGCTTGTACTTGCATGCCAATCGTGATCAAAGAATAACAGTTTTTGATTCTGCAAATTCTGTGGCGTCCTGACGCAGAACGTTTTTGGTCAAAAATCAAGCTTTTCTAGCAGGTGTGCAACACTTGCAGACCTGCTAGAAACTTGCGGATGTCTCCTGTCGCCCTCATTCATCGTCACGAATCTGCAGTATTTTGCATGTGACAATGCGCGCATATGTTGCCTCTTCAAAGAACACATGATAAACGTATAACAGAGAACTTTGTTTTGATCAGGAATTCGTGCGCGTGATAAGGCGGGGGGGGGGGAATATATGCTCTTCTGGAATTCTTTGCTGAGCAATTGAAATAGCAAGAATTGCGACTGTTGAGAAGCAGGGAAAATTCAGTCGTGAAGATTGCTTTGGCGAAATATCAGTCTTAGATGAATACTATTGCGGGAAGGAAATCAATAAATCCGCAAAAAAGCGGTAGGAGTTCTACGGATTTCAATGAAAACGAGCTTTTGTGCAATATTACTGCAAGAAAACGAATTGGATCTAGCAAAAAAAAGCGTTAGAAGCTTTATAAAAAATAATGAATCTAACAGTCTTTTTAAGGGTCTGGGTTAATGTGGGGAAGCAGATTCATGATCTCACCGAAAAAAAATAGTTTTAGGAATTTCATAGACTTTAACAAATTCAGCCAAAAGTTTCCGCACCTAACAGTTTTTAGCTGATAAATCTCATTCAATCTGATTTTTAGTAAATCTGGTTCCTACTGGATTATTCTTGATTTTCAGTGGAAATTTTTTAAGGCTTTCTTCTATGGCCAGTTGTCAGGAATGGTGGAACCCATTGCCGCCGTCTTGGGCGCTGCTGCGATCATCCTCATGGAACCGCTCCTGCCCTACGCCCTCGCGTTTGCAGCTGGAGCTATGATCTACGTAGTTGTTGACGACATCATTCCCGAAGCACAACGGAGTGGAAATGGCAAGCTGGCCTCCATCGCGTGCATCATAGGATTCCTAGTGATGATGTGCATGGATGTCGGATTGGATGACTCTTAAATTCGGTAAAGTTAGGTGTGGGTTGGACAACGCGGATAGCTTCTCAAATATCACGCAGAACTATAACCGCCTTGTATTGGAGATTCTTATGCTAATCTCGTTCAAATGACTTCGATTCCTTCTCATGATATTTCGGTTATTATGTTGTTGTCATGTTTTGTTGTCATAATTGTTGCGCAAAAAATAATATTACAAACCTCACAGATTTGATCTGCATGAGGCAGTTTCCTTCCTATTATCGTCCTGCAGCTTTTCTTTCCATTTTGAAACTATCAGATCACTTTATTTTTATCATATATAATTCCACAGATGTAAGCTCTTGAGCTTCTGGGAAGCATAATTATTGTATAGCGGTGTATTGTGTATGTGGGTTATCTTGGTATTTCTTTTTCTTTCTATTGAAAGTTTATAGTACTGTGATATTGTATGACTTTAATCAGATCTATGCGTATACGTTCCCTTCGCCTTATAGCTGAATTCCATTTAACCGCATCCACCTCGATTGCCGTTTCAAATCACGGGATAGGCTTTGGACTAACAGTACAGAATTGTGAGAAATGTGCAATTCCAGAATCAGTGCCATATATGGTTTGGTTCGAGTACTTTATGCATAAACATTCGATTCGTTTTTGCAAAGGTTGTTGTTGTGCGAAGTAATTTTCTAAAAATATTTTTGTTTGATGAAATCTTGCACAATTATCGTGCATTCTTCTTGTGAGCTTTTTTGTCTATGACTCAGAGGCAGACATGATGATTTACATGCAGCTTACATTTTGCGTAGATATTTTTTAATCCTCTATAGGTGCGATGCATCTTACAAAGCTGTTACGGTTTCCTCGAAAACCTTTCAAAGAATTAGATTATGCTCGTCATATGCCTAAAGAATATGTAGAAAGGATGAAAAGAACAATTCCGCGGAAAGTTTACAGTGGAAGGTAAGTAGATTGCATTTTGCAATATTCATTGCTTTTTTTACATAATGAAGTATTATAATCTAACTGCGTTATTCGCTCTTGTCTATTTTGCCCACTTTTGGAGAGACATTACAACCAAAAATCGGTCGATGTTCAGTTCATTGCTCTATAGGCATTTTCAATGATAATCGGAACAGCTGGCATACAATCGCCGCGCGCATTGGTGATATGTGTAAACAACAATAGGCGCTATAGATTGTGATCGGTCATGCATACGTCTTAAGGGAGATTAGAAATCATACGAATGCTCTTTTGGACTTGGAACGTATCTTGTTTTATGAATACAGGATATTCCAAGCTTCTGAACAAGTTTAAAAAATAAATATGGTTAAGGAATTAAGTTTAGAATGAGGATGTGTTGCAATTCGTCTTTCCTGCGCAATGGTTCTTTTGAAGCTTTGAGTCGCATTACGTTGTATACCGGAAATCCGTAGAAATCAACTATTGATGAGAGAAATTTAGCAACAGTAACTTTGTTCCTAGACTTAGACGACAATCATCAATCATTGCACAATTAAAATTGGTTAACAGAGCCATTACAAGCGTTTACGATTTTTCCACTTCCTTGCATGTAAGGGCAGAAATGAGGTCTCTGAATGTGGGTGTTCTTGTGAATGTTCTTTTCTCTGTGGACTCCCTGAAGAATGCTGAGTCCAGATTGTTGCAAAACCTGAAAAATGTCAGCATTGCTTACTTTGACCGAGAAATGCTTGGCATGCGAAGATGTCGAAACCAATAAGCCATTTGCCATTTGCATGAGGGGCGTGTCGTCAATAAATGACGATTGACTTACTGCCCAAGATGCCTACCGTTTTCAAAACAAAGGCATTTTGACACTTTTAGTTTGGACTCAACAGCCTTAAAGATACATGATATATAAAGACATATAAAGTAGAAAATCTGGCGTGATACTGCCATTGATCTGGAAATAGACGCCATACCAAAATGGCTCAAGAAGATGAGAGAGAGCTTCATCGGTCCTAGCTCGATCATTGCAGATTTGGTGCACCTGATATCACTCGGTGGGTACTTCATCCCGACGATTACGTACCTACTTTTGAAAGACCTTGGACCAACGATGAGCTTTCAAAAGCTACCGAAAGAGCTCATGAATATCACCAAGCAATGTAAGACTTTGTTTGTTTCAACTCTGAAGTCTTAAAGTGTTGTTGCTTCAGGATGAACAACAAATTTTTCCCTTTCCGGCAAAATAATGTGCCTAGAATAAAAGACGAGGAGTGGACGTTTTTCCCCGGAGACTTAGTTCAGGTATAGATTTTCTGCGTTTTGTCTTGTGTCTCTACTTTTCAGTAAGCAGGCGTTATCTATCTATTTTGTAAATCTACTGAGAGCAAATGCGGCGCACTAAAAGACTGTCGTCTCGTTTCTCGTCGGCGATTGATCCAATTCAGGCAACTTCCGCTTACGCGATGCCAATTGACAAAAGTCCGTGATTTAGTGGGCCGTATTTGTTCAGGCGGTTTTGAGTTTTACAGACTGACAGTGGCGTACCGAGGGGTGGAGCGGCCCCCCCCCCCCCCCCGCTCCGAGAATGGGTCGCGAACTCTTTGAAGGTTACTCAAATGGTTATAAAAATGCGCAGAGGACTTGAAAATAATTTTTAAAAATTTTTGAAATTCAAATTAGCCTTGCAAAAAAAATTTTCGGGGGCGTGGCGGCAGCCACGCCCCCTTTTTCTGAAATTTTGGGGCGGGCCCGGAATTTTGGGGAAACATCCCAAAAAATCTTTCGGAGTGAATTTCTAGAAAAACTTTGTCTCCCTCCCCCCCCCCCGAAATCCTGGGTACGCCACTGCAGACTGAGTATGGTCTGGGCTGGCGCTTGAGCGTATTGTACCCAAAGGCCTTTCGTATAGGTCATGGTCGGCAAGGACAAGGGAAAGCAAGGGACCGTCATGTCGATATCACGTGATACCAACGAGGTTCTAGTTGAAGGAATGCATTGCAAACTTGAGGTCGAAGTAGAAGGAGTAAAGAAGCTGGGAATTGATGAGACCCTAAGGTAAGCGTATTCCCAAGCATATTCTTTAAATAGAAAATTGTTGTACCAGGTGGAAAGAGCAGCCACTAAGGGTGGACAAAGAACAGGTGAAGCTTGTGGATCCCAACGATAACGAGCCTTGCGAAGCGAAGTAGGTCGTCAGTGTTTATACATTTTTACCACTTTTCAACCCCATTAAATTCTAGATGGACTCTAAACACCGCTGGCGACGAATATATACGAATTTCTGAACGATCAGGTTTTGAGATCCCCATACCTAGCCAAGCGAAAGTAACCTATGAATACCTGCAACCAGAAAAGTACATAGGTTAGTCCATGACATAAATCTATTTTTTTTTCCAAATTTGTCTTTGTTTAGAAGTAGAGGATAAAGATACACCGCCGAATCTAGTCTTAGAACGCACTTATGTTCCAAAATTGGCCTCATTTGAAGAAGAAATTGCCGCTGAGATGGGCATCAAAGATTTCAAGCCTCCGAAACCAACATACTGGTACTGATCATCATACATAGATTCTTCTGTAACTCATCGCTAGTTCTGAATTCTTAGGATTGTTGATTTTGTTTATTTTTTACCGAATCATAATGCATGATATCACATTTATCTCCTAGCATGTGTTAATACTTGTACAAAGCTCAGTGAAATGTTAAAATGACCCCGTTTTGACTGGCAACAAATAAAATATTAAAATTTGGTTATGAGTACTGTTATTGAGGTCCTGGTCCTTGTCGTGTTGCTGCATCTTCTTCCGGTTCCAAAGCAATGAGACCGTATTCGTCTACATATTGTAATGGTTCACAAAATCTGAAAAAAAAAAGTGTTTGGGACTCATTCTGAAAACCAGCTCTTCCTTACCTTTCACTCTCAAGTGTGAGGATATATTGACATAGTCTCGGTTCCGACAATGAAAGAGATATTGCCAACGGACTGCCCTCGGCAGTTTTGCATCGAAGTCGAACTTCTACACTTCTGAAAAATCTTTTTTTCCATTATACTGAGAAACCAAAAGGCGGTTGTTAAAATGAATCTATCGTGAAGATGAACAAAGTGAAAAACAATGAATACTCTATCTATATATCGATTGAAAAAAAAACCAAAAACAAATTCCACAAAAACGTACCTGTGAGCTTGAATTTCATGACATATATCTCCTTTAACGTAGATATGAGAAACCTGTGTTATTTGCCCATTGTACTGGAACCATTCAGTTTTATGTTTGAAAATTTTTCACTCAAAATGCTTTACCTTTCGAGGTGATCGATGTTTATGATCCTCATCGACCCACGCTTTATGAATTTTTTCATCAAAAACGCCTAGCATTATTTCTGTTCTTTGCCCATTCTGTGATATGTGGTATTGTAGTACCTGAAAAAAAAAAAGAATATGCAACATCAAAAAGCGATTACTATGACTTACGCTTTTGCCATAACAAAACTCGTACTTCCACCATCCCTCCCCGCCATAGATACATTCTCTGCCAGAAAGTATCCGATTTACCGTATCTTCAACTATCAATCGATTGTTAGCTAGTGAATCCACGCCCTCATACCTAAGTAACTTCCTCTGAATGCTTTTATGGGAGAAAAAGATCTGTTCGCAACATGCTACCCTACCTTTTCCTGCCAGCCAACCTTAGCGTCTTCTCTTTCGCGGGATCTTCTACTTCCGGTTCTTCTTTCTCCTCTTCGTCATAATCCTCTTCATGCGTTACTTGTTGTTGTTGGTCGCTCACAGAGTAGTCCTGAAAGGATATTTTGAGATTAAGTTGAAATCTTTGTTCAGAGTACAAATTTCCTACCTTTTTGTAGGCTTCTCTCCGGTAATTTTCCATTTGAAGCAAAGACATGGGCTTTGAGTTTTCATTATTGTCTATATTATAGCAAACAATCTCATGACTATGCTGAGACTTCGGTCGGTAGGCCGGATGGGTGCAAAGTCTGCTTGATAATACTACAACTTCGTAGTTGCAAGATGAAACTTCACTGAGTGAGTGGATTTGATTGCGGGCATTCTGAAACCAAATAGGATTCTAGTTTTATGTAGACTGCAAGCTTTCAGTGATGTTTGAATTATGAGATTTTGCAGGCTAGTTTGTTACAATAAGTAATGCTAGATGTAAGTATTTCTGCATTTTATTTATGCCCTTTGAGAAAAACGACATTTTCCCGCACCCCGTCCTCCGTTCTATCCCTCAGAAAATTGGATCGTTTCAAATCGCCACATTTTTCATGGCAATCAATGAAAGTCAGCTGAACTGGGATGAATAAATAAACAGTGTACATGCTATAGAGAATTGCGCTGAAATTGACGCTAGAGTCAAAACTTGTTTTCGATAGAGCATAAGCCATTGCTATATTCCCGAACTTTCTATACATTGCGTTCAATTGACAATGCGTGTCTACACAGATTGTAGTGAGAGCACTGTAAACTATGTTGGACAGTAAGCTCACAAACATAGTTTCATTAAATTTTAGCAGGGTATCTCGAAAAACAAACAAAGTAAAATTTTAGAATACTGCACTAAATGAATATCATAAACCGGACAACGTACCTCAACACATATATACATAACAGTAGTGGTTCTCGGTTTACCAGTGATATCGCAAGTGGTTCCTTGAGTATAAAAAACAGGGTAATAAGCAAATTCTTCGCCATCAATAACCCTTTTGGGCGGGTTATTGTAATCTATGGTCGCTGCCTGGAACAAGCAATCGGATTAATTGGAGCGAAAAAGCAATTAGACTGCAAGACAAATTATAACTGTTAGGGAACGAGTACATTATTGATGGGTAGGGAAGTATAGGGAATGAGCTCGAAAAAAATTCGAAAGCGATCTGGATGAGTGCTGAAATTGCGCAGGCAACTAGTTTTATAGTAATGAAGACAAATTCAATATTCTGTGAAAACCCAAACTTTGGGGAAATTGTGGCGAGAGTTTCAGAGGCATTGCAATAAATATAAGAAAGTTGTGTTATTTACATGAAGTTTCTCAAACTGAGAACGATAGAAAACTTTCAACAAAAGTTCTGAACATTCACTTGAGGTTCAATAAGAATCACAATGGTCATGAGTAACTAATGGATGCTTACTATGGCTGGCAGTTGTGGTAATTCTCCGCTCAAAAAAAAAAAAACAAATGCGTTTATATTTTATACGTTCTCTGATCATGAAACCTGGGCATTGTTTGAATTCATGAGATGTGTTGTAAGCCACGCAGGTTTGTTAAGTTCTTTATTTCGGTCTAACGTTTCGGCAAAATGCCTTCCTCGGAGACCTGAAAGAAAGCCTCGCAGTTGTTTTTTTCACTCTGTACTGTCAAATCTCTCTTCTGAACTAGCTCAGTTCGATGCCCTAGGAGCAAACACGCTGAGACAATACATTGTAAGCAGTGGCGTACCCAGGATTTCCGCTCGAAGGGGGGGGGGGGCGACAAAAATTTTTTTCGAATGAAGGTGCGTGGCTTTAGCCATGGACTCCGAAAAAAATTTCGGCGTGCTTTTCAAAATTTTCGCGGGTCCCCAACCCCTAAAATCTGGAAAATCTTACGCCACGCCCCCGAAAAATTTTTTTACAAGGCTAAACTAAATTTTCAAAAATTTTTAAAAATTATTTCAATTATTTACAATTATAAACAAGTTACTTGCACATTTTTATAATCCATATAAGTAACTTTCAAAAATTTCGCGACCCATTCTCGGCCCCTCCCCCCGCTCCTCCCCCCTCGGTACGCCACTGATTGTAAGTAGCGTACCAAGATCTCCACCAATCAGGCAACAACAGATGTTTGAGATCCACTGGTGGTAACAGACTAGAACTGACCGATATAGACAGCTTGAGTAGTAGTGGATGTGTTATCTATAAGTGACAATATGACAGAAATGGCATCAAGTCACCTGTGATGGAGAGTTGCTCATTCTTTCCGTTTAGCTTAGGTTCGCGCGAAAGAATGTATGCCGCTTCAAGCGTTTTGCGAGCAGCAATTTTCGACTCGTGACCTAGGATGATGCACTTGATACTGAAGTCACTGCCGTGATGATCTACCTTTCTGTGTTTCCCTAGCGGACTTGACATGCTTTCCCGTCTATTACTAGACAAGTGTTCATTAATTCGCTCGCTGAGCTGACGACCAGTTTCCCCTACGTAGGTGGCATGGCATTCTAGACAATCAATTTCGTAGATAATGCCGAACTTGGTACAGTCTCCCATCCTTCCGTAAAGGCAAATGACGCAATCCCTCGTAATACAGGCTGCATCGTATAAACGATTACGCACCAGCTGTCGCTTGATGTTGCTTCGGGGGCTACTTACAGTGTATTGTCTCAGCGAGTTTGCTCCTATGGCATCGAACTGAGCTAGTTCAGAAGAGAGATTTGACAGTACAGGGTGAAAAAACAACTGCGAGGCTTTCTTTCAGGTCTCTAAAGAAGGCTGCCGAAGCGTTAGACCGGAATAAAGAACTTAACAAACCTGCGTGGCTTATAACATATCTCATCAAATGCGTTTATAGTTTGTAAGAATATTGATATGGTGACTGTGGCCTTTCAAAAACATGGGCAATATTAGAACTGTGAAGAGTCCAGGAGGGATTCGAAAAATTCTCGCAATTGTTGATGTAGGGCAATGATTAGAAGAGGAAATCATAAGCACATACAAAAAAAATTGCAGTTGAATATTCAGTTTTCTTGAAAAATACTGCACTCACCATAGTGGTATAATCTACATGAAGATTCCCAAGATAATACTCTGCAGTCCGTCCAACGCCTCTGACGTCTTTTTCCTCATGATACTGCACGATGTATCGGCCATGGCAAAGCTCATAGGACCAGTATGGCTCCACTCTGTATGAGCAAACCTTCTCCTTATAGACAGGAGCTAGTAGTTCAGCTGGAGTTGGGCCCCTGTAGTTGGCCGCTTCTTCATACTTCTGAAAAAAAAATTCTGCTACAGAAGTATAAAGATCAAGATATCTAGGTATAAAAGCTCTCGCAATGAACAGATGGAACAACGATCAGTTCGTGCACTAATTCAGAGTACACCACAAAGAACAACAAAGCAGTTGCAACGCAATATAGTTCTAAATCTGTTTGTTGTCTCAAGCGCAACGTCTCGGAGGCAGCAATAGCCTGTCGCGGAGCGGATGTGATATATCTCTGCGAATGAACTATAGCTAGGAAAAACCAGAAATTCCGCAAGAAAAAGTTTTTCACGGGTCGTTTTCGGCAAATGTACGAGTGAGAATGAATTAAGTGTTCTGAGCAGAACACTACTATGCTTTTCGACGAAGACGAAGAAAATTAACGACTATCTGATCTGACGAAATAGAAGGCAGCCAAGAGTGAATCCTAGCCGTGCAAACAGACTACACACTAGTCATCGCACGTATAGACCGAGCGCATTGTTGATGACTAAAAGAGTTCGCTTTTAGAGAGCAGACGGTAAGAGTAAGGAAGTGTGCATGATCAGAGGGACATCGGCAAAGTTCGCAAAAAGCACTGTCTCTGCCTCGCCTTTACATATTCAAATTTGCAGATTATGTATAATAAAACAAAACAAAAAATCACAAAAAGCTAACAACTGAGGAACATTAAGGCCTCGGGCAGAGTTCACGCGATTTCATCGCTGCGATTTATCGCGACAAGACTAATGATATCATTGCTGTCGATCTTGCATTCGGTTGTGGTAGTTTTCCAACACGAAAAATCGTGACTAACGATCACACCCGAATACAAGAAGAACTTGGCAATGAACTTGGAACAGTTGTCCTATCGCGATGGATCGCGACGATGAAATCGCGCGAACTCTGCCGGAGGCGTAACCTAATGGAAACAAATCAATCAAATAGGTAGAAGAAACAACCCACTTCAGACTGAGCTTCAGGGATCTTGCAGATGTAGTTTTCATTGTTCTGCGTGGATATTCGCATATGATTCTCGTCTTTGAGCGCCTTTTCGTTGTCCTCCAGCAGTTGGCTTCCTTCCAAGTTGTCAGCTCGCTCGAAAGTGATCATATAATGAACACTGTCGTCGACTTTGGTAGCTGAGGCTAAACAGCTGCATAGGAGAAGTGCAACTAATGGCCGTTTTGGCAGCATCGTCATCGTAGATGAACTCCAGCTGAACGACGACGTCAAGCAGAGCGGCGACGGACGTCGTTGCAGATGTGCGTCCACGCCGCCACACCAACGCACAATTGCGTACGATTAAAATTACTCGGCAACAGGCTGCAAGTCACATCAATTGCGGTTTTGCTACGCTTTTTGTTTCTTTTACGTTCCTCTTCATTTGTCTGAACAATCGTAAAGGTTGCATGAACCGGCTTACCTTGGTCATGCTTCTTCGCGCAACTTACGACGAGTTTTGCGGACTTTTGAATGCGAACCGGATTTGCAACAGTCTGTTGTAGGAGCAGATTGTTTTAAGTTTCAAGGGTAGTAACTAAACTAATGTAAAGATAGAATACTTCCGACCTTTGATGTCAAGGAGGAGTTGCTGCCGGATTCAGCGGAGGTGGTGGTTTTTATCTCATTTTATTTATTTTTTTGCTATTTGCACTTTTGAGTTGAACAGCTGGGCAAAACGTTTCTAAATCGCAGTTCGCTGTTAGAATATCACTGGCTCCCAAATTCCTATGGAGGCGGGTTGCGGAAATTCCCTGAATTTAAGGATGAACTTGTTAGAACCTCCGCATTCAGCATTCGGTACTCTCTCTCAAGTTTATTTTTATAATCAAGGAAGTCCAACCCGCCTTCACACGAATCTCGGAGCCGATCATACAAGCACCGCTAAGGTCTCAAGAAAAAGCTCGATTTTATTTTATCACGGGCTTTATAGAGAGCTAAACGCATAATATATGCGCTCTTGTGGAAATACTTTCATGTTTATACTTATTTACACCTGATCCGTCTCGGATCATGCAATCATACTATTCCTCATGTATCTACACTTGACTTGTTGAAATACCGAATGTGAAATTGTGGGTGTTTTAATGTCTAACCGCGTTTTATTTATGACTGGATGTCTGTTCACTTTTCATGACTTGAGTATTCTACAATTAGCTTTGTAGTAATTGAGTGTTGCGTTGGTGCAGTTGCACTCATCCCACCAAGATTTTGCGTTAGCCTATATTATCACCGGCGCGAGCTATAGAACTTCTTCCTTACGGTTCCTTGTTCCTCATGAACTCGGGTTGTTGCGAATGCTGTGAGCAGCTCGTGGATGTCTTTTCACAAAATTCATTTCCAGTTTTATTTTGTGAGTCTATAATGGAGTTGTAGCGCACACCTATATATCACCACCAGCAACTGCTAATATGCTTGCACACGACTTTTTGAAGAACGATGATCGTACGTTCAAACCGACGTCGTCATCCAGGTCTGTTTTTTTTTCAAATTTCTCTAATCGGTACGGAAAATGTTTTTCTGTCTTGGTTTTGTGACATGCTTTTTCAAAAGGAAAAAGTTTTTGGTGGAAGGATGCCTACGATGTTTACATTCTCCGATTTTTTTTTCTTAATCAATTTCGAAATCAAAGCAGTCCATGTCTTAGTAAGCGATATCTAAGAAATTTGTTTGTCGGCTAAATTCTATGCGCCAACTCTGGCATATCCAGATGAAATATGCAGAAATCAAGAAATTGTTGGGCGATTATAGAATACTTTCCTCATTTCTTTTGTTATCGACATATCCACTCATCTCTGCATATCAAATTTCAACAGGTTAGCTCGTAGCTTGTGAAAGTCTGACCGTTAGAGTTGAGCGGCAATGCTTTGAACAATCATTGTGATTGCACGTTCGCTCAACCCTATAATAAAAGATATTACTTGTTTGAATGATTGTTGACTGAAATAAATGAATAAATGAGTAGTAAGATCTGTGTTACGATTACAAATACCACCATTGTGGCCATCCAAAAATTTTTTTAGTTGATACATTCAAGAGATTATTACTCGATAATTACGACTTTTTAGGTCAGCATGGTATTTCTGCGTCTTGGTTATGACAAAGATTCTGCGATGTATTGGCATCTACTTTATTGACATTCTCGCAAAGAGCGTTCATATTGTTAGCCTGTTATGGCTTGTTAAAGTTGTGTAAGTATTGTTCAAGCTTTCCAGTTATCTAAAAGTATTGCTCCACTACTGCATTTCAGTGCATCCTTCATATTGTTGCCCATTCAAAAACCGCTTAGTCAAGGGAAGTCTTTGAGAAAGCATACGGTAAAACATTTTCTCTTTTCAGTCGTTTTTTGTAACTTCGTTTTGTTTTCTGTAAATTTATCCTTGTAGCTTATGCGAATTGGGAAGTTATCGTTAGCAAACTCAGTGATAGAAATATTATGGTTCTATGGCATTACGTTCTGTGGGCCTTTGAGGTACGTGATTCCTTTCTGATATTTTTTCTGACTCTGAAATTCTAGGTCAGTGCTTGTTTTCGAGTTGAGCCCCTCTGTTCTTTTAGTGGTGATACTGTCGTTGATCAAGGTATAGATCACCATACTGTTTGTAGTTATATGCCGTAGCCAAGTTTTTTAGGGAAGTTCTACAACGGCAAAAAGTAGGGGTACATTTTTCTTAGTGATAGGTTTTGTTATACTTATGCTCATGGATCGTGATATAACAATTGAACATGCACATGGTAAGTCATACAAAACTTCATCTACTTCTTGGTCGTATACATGTTTGCTTAGATGTGACACACGGACACCATAGTGGTTTAAATCATCTTTTCTACCATCTTATCCAAATGTTCGGTGTGTCCGACCATCAAGGAGGGATTCTTATTCTTTTTCTGGCGTTACTACTCCGCATTGGTAAGTAACTAAGTGAGCAGAAAAACAAACTTATCAATTTGATCTGTTCACCCGTGATAGCTTCGATAATTAGAAGTGGTCTAGGTTAGCTATACTCATGATCAATATCTATAAATCCTGTAGATTGGGACTGCCATCATTGACTCACGGCGACAGTTATATTCGGGGGAATAGGTAACTCTGTCTTCGAATAAGGGGCATGTACACCTTTTTTTGAAATATCATGCTTCTGAATTTTTTTGCGGCTCTAAGCCCCAAATTTTGAAAGAGGGGCGCAGCTACTTGCGAAAGCAAAGGCGCAAAATTACGTTTTGAGTCGCACTTGTTCAAGCAACTGATATTCAGGAGTTGCATAGCATCATTTTCAGTTAAAGGCAATGGCTAAGAAAAATTGCGACTGCGGGCTTTTCACGACTACATGACCTTCTGGACCGGCTGAGTTCGGTACTGCGCTTAAAAAGTCAAGAAAAGTGCTTTTTTGGCGTTTCCGGCCTTGGAGATTGCTGGGGAGGCGGGGCGAGGGATTCGCCCCAAAATGAGCAACCGGCTGCAGGAGTCTGTAACTCCACCTGTTTGTGCGGCAAACTGTATGGCGATGGGTGCCTAGGCTGATCAACCAATTGCTGCCACAATAGGTAGAGTTACAGTTCCAGCAGCCAGTTGCTCTTTTTGGGGTGAATCCCTTGCTCCGCCCCTCTAGCAATCTCCAAGACCCGGAAACGCCAAAAAAGCAATTTTTTGACCTTTCAAGCGCAGTACCGGATTCAGCTGGTCCAGAAGGTCATGTAGTCGTGAAAAGGCCGCAGTCGAAATTTTCCCGAGCCAGCTGACTTTTGTTTATTTTGCGCTTGCAAGAAAATCTTATTTGATCTACGTCAAGTAGATTCTTATAGTTCAGTTTCCTGCGTAAAATTCACCGAATTTTTCTATCTAGTTGTAGCCAAAAATTATATTTTATTTGTAACATCCTTATGGTAACCCGCATAATGCTCCTTTTAGGCTACGACAGTTCATTCCGTCACCTGGCGGTTGAGATCGGTGGTCCAAAACGCCTATACTCTCTCGTATCAACATGCTCTGCATTAATCCTTACACCCGTTGCTGTTCTTTCCATCACAATGACTACGGTATGTGTTTAACTGTTCATTTTCATTCGTTATACCCTTTCTGTAATATCGTTGTTGTTATTCCATAATTAAGATTGTAATATTGATAATATTCTACGAAAAGCATCGCTAGGCAGTAATACCGCTAGAATTAGTGCTTTCCTTTCTGACCTCATGAGTTTTTCATGGAAAGGGGGCTCAAGCCGTTTTTGTGTTTCAGTCACACATCCAGTCTCTGCCGGAGTTCTTGATCTTGCTAGTAGTTGCCGCTATATTCGTTCAAGTTCTAGACTTCTATGCAGAAAGCGTTTGCTTCCAGGTGGGTTTTTTTTTCACAGTCATTAGAAATAATCGCGGAACGAGAGTTCTAGCACGTTGCTGACCCGGTAATGGCCGCTGCTCGTTGGTCGCCGGTGACCATGTTCACCTGTGCGTTGGGGTTGTCATGGTTGTGGTATGCCCGGCAAGGACTAGCAGAACATGGAGTCACTTATGGAGTCATAATCACCGTTGTGGCGTTTATTTTGGGTAAGATTGATGCTCACATTACTTTGGATATCGCTTTAAGGACCACTATTCAAGCCTCCGTATCGTTGACGTCTTCGAGTGCTCCGAAACATCGCGGTGGTGAGTTGATTGGAATGTCAGATACTGGAGTTCCACTCTTCACATACAAAGAAGCATTCTTGCAAAAAACCGGACGATCCTTGATGCTGTTCGTGCAGGTAAATTGAGCATATTCTTCTTTTTTTTTTGACAATATTCTGACAATATATCTTTGAATATTAGAATAGAGTCCACTTTGCTTTTTTTGCCTTTTCACCCTAGGAGACTCAAAGGTGAACATGGTCACCCTAGGAGACTAGAATTGAATAGCATATCCGCAAATGTCAAAAAATTTTTTGAGGAAACTCTTCGAGAAATTCTCGCCAACAGCGATTCTCGGCGGATTTTTTACTTCCTCTGCGTGAATCTAGCATTTTGTGGCGTGGAATTTCTATACGGGTTTTGGACCAACAGTCTTGGACTCATCTCCGATGGATTCCATATGTTGTTTGATTGCTCTGCGCTGGTATGAACATCTTACCTTTATATTCCCATTCAACAACTCTCTTCTATGTGTTTAGGTCATGGGCTTGGTGGCTGCTGTGATGTCGCGTTGGCCAGCTACTCGCCGCTTCAGTTATGGATATGGAAGAGTCGAGGTCTGATATCACAGAAACTTATCGTTTACTTTATGTATACTCTATCATCTTCTTCTGTCTAGGTATTATCTGGGTTCATCAATGCCCTCTTTTTGTGTGTGATCGCTCTCTTCATTTTGATAGAGGCCTTGGAAAGGTTGTTTGATCCGCCAAATATCAACACCGATAGACTTTTAGTGAGATTTGTCCTTTTTCAAGGATTTCCATAAGTATAAAAATTTTTTTTCAGTTTGTTGCCATATCTGGACTTCTCGTCAATCTTTTTGGTATGTACTCTTTCCATGGTGGCGACGATCATGGGCACGGACATTCACATGGCGGCGGTTCCCATGGACATTCGCATTCGAATGCCAACATGGAAGGTTAGGAAATAATTTTGAGTTAAATGGATTAGCAAACTTACTCTGAAAGCGCGCCTTCTGTTCCTTGATCAATTGTTCTTTGTCTTCGGAGAACCTTTTTCGTGTTTCTCAAATAATTGAACAGTAATATTGTTTCAGGCGTGTTTCTGCACGTTTTGGCCGATACTCTTGGATCAGTTTTTGTTATCATATCAACGCTGCTTATCCAGTGGTTTGGCTGGACATGGGTAGATCCGCTTTGCTCCTTGATCCTCTCAATCTTGATCCTCAGCTCTGTGTACCCTCTGCTGACCAGTAGCACGAATACACTGTTACAGGTACGCGACTGATTACTTTCAATTTGCTCTATGTTGAGAGGCAATTCTTCAGCAATCCCTTGTTGTTTATAAGTGGATAAATAAAAAATAATGTTTTCTTAAGGACATTCCTGATGAAGAAGAGTTTGAACATCATCTATGTGAAGCGTTGGAGGTAGGCATATTTTACGTTAATGGCTTGGCCATTGTGGGAAATCTCTCTCTGCTTTCGCAATGGCGGTGGTCACTTTTTTTAATGGAAAATCAGAGATTTACGTATATCATGCCCTGTTTTCACTGGTTGTTTTTTTAGGTGGAAGGAGTGCAGTCGTATTCAAAACCCCACTTCTGGCAGCTAAAGAGCGATCTTAATGTCGCTTCTGTTCATATACAAGCTGCTTCTGAAGCAAATGCGCAGCTCATTCGACATAAGGTCTGCGAATTTTTTGCAGCTTTTCACATTGATGTTTCCATTTCGCAGGTTGCTGCACAACTGAGAGCAGCGGGAGCTACGCAGTGCTCTGTGCAAGTCGAAAAGGACTTCTTTATGCATCGGATCCAGCAGCTTTGCCCGTCATATCGTTTTGGCCATAATGTGAGGAAGTTTTCTTCCTTTATTTGATTTTTCATAGCATATCACCATTTTTAGGTGCTTCGTGGTACGACAATCGTTCGTGAACGAAAATCGCAAAGTAATGACCACGGCCATTCACACAATGGACATGGACACGGTCACTCTCACTAACCTCTATAAGCCCTTCCCGAGTCATTCAAGTGCCTTCTTATAATGGGCAATTAGTAAGATTCTCTAAATTGCTATGTTGAATCTTAGTTTTTAGTACTGTTGAATGTCGCGATTTTGTGTGTTTGTGCAAGCCTTTGTCAGGGTGTTTGGGTTTATATCTTCGAGTATTTCCTTGTATCATTTCATACCTTTCTTTCCTGTGCACATGGAAATGAGATCTATGCTGTTGGCAGTTACTGTGATTGTTCATCTGGGTCTAATTTATTTCGAAATATTGAGGTAATAAAGAAGTATTGTGCGGTCGTCGAATCCCAGTGTATTTCATATCAGAAGTTTTTCGAACAATGGCGCGATCAGTCGCTTTGAACGGAACAGAGTGTTGGCCAGCAACGAAGAGGCACGAGCAGATCCTAAGCACGTCGGGAGATACGTATGATAAGGTGGAAATTGGCGAAGAGGCTATGTTTTGGACGCCGATGTGCGGCACATTTTTGGAGTTGCTGCGATTGCGGATAAACGCGTGTAGCAGGGTTAGGATGGTATGGTCACATTTCGCGGATTGATGACCATACAGAACAAGAATGGCATTTCTATTAGATTCAAAGGGAAGACGACCTCGCATTCTGCCGAAGCAACGTTGTTCGAAGACAATTCAAAACAGTGGAAAAACACCACTAGAAACAGCCGATCGAGCCAAATGGAAATCCCAATGCAACCCGCCGACCCTGCCCCGCGAGGTGATGGCAAGAATAACTGGTCCAAAAAAATCGTCTAAGCAGCGCCTGATATCGTCTTCAGATTGTAACAGAAATAATGCAGGTTTTCTGAATTTTATGTTTGGATCATTATAACTTTTTACACAAATAGTCTTTTCGTGTGCAACAAAAATTGTTGTAATCGCAGACCTTTTTCAACTCAGTATGCATTATGATGTTGTTGTAGCTTCACTGAGGAAAATCTTATAGCTAGAATTCTGCCAAGAATTTTTTCGGAGAACCTTCACTTTGAGAAACCAAAATTTGCTATCAAATGTAGTAAAACAGCGCAAATATAACTCACTGTGTAGCCTATGTCCGGTTGTACAGCAGCGCTAAATTCGGAATTGAAAAAGAATTCTTTGCGAGAGGATATTTGAAAAATTCTGAAAGTACTCATTTCTTCGACTTTTCTGAGAATTTGAAAAATCGCTTTTCTGAAACTTTCGAATTTTTTCAAAGCTGAAGAGAGAACGGCTCCCGATTTTTTCAGCCATAAATATCTAAAACCTTTTCTTCCTATACAAAGCGGAAGCTCCGCAGTCGCTTCGCGCTGAGGTTTTTTATATAAGGCAGACGGACCACGGCGGCCGTTGAATTTTGCTTTGAAACTTCTCGGCTCAGATATTTTCAGAATTCGTGATTCAAAGTGCATTTTGTAACATAGTCACTCAAAAATACTATGTAAATGGTGGTTTTAGAGCCAGATATATTAAAAGGAAGAATTTCGAGATTTAATTCCTTAAATTCATGGGCTCAGAACTTCTAGACAAATTTCAATTCCACTGAAACGAAAGAATGCATAAGAAATTAGAAGAAAAGAGCTTTTAAATGATATGCAAAACTCTCTGAGAAAACACAATTACCGCTCTAGACCAGCATTTCGAGAAAGGTGCGCGAAAAACCCGCATTAATTCTATTACAACCTAATAAAACAGCCGCCGTTCATATGATTTGTTTGAGACTGAAACAGACGATAATATGCTGAAGTGAAACCTCAGGAGGACATTGAATATTAATGTACCTTCCGGTCAAGTCTTGCAGGACAACTATGACGACGGTTGCCGAGGGGACCATTTATCGCCCAAAAAAGCTCATTGGACCTGTTTTAGGCCTTTTCTGCGGTAGGAATTCGTTTAGACTGTGCAGTCGGGTTGCGTACGGTATGGGGACCGTCTGCTGTTGCCTAGCAATTTTCAGTGCAGAAGCTCAAGCATTACCTGCAAAAAATCTTGCTCAGGAGACACCCTGCAATTTCTTTGTCTTTTGAAGCACTCCAATCCCTTTTGTCTCATATTGACAAGAAAACGTCCAAAATCGGCAAAAAAATCTGCGAAATTGCATTTTTCATGAGGAAAACTGAGCAAGTGCCAAAAATGCTCTCTTTTGCCTTTCGAGAATTCCCTCTTTGGAAGCTGAGGAATCAAAGCAAATCAGCTTTTCATCGAAAGTAACTAGTTCATTTGAAGAGCATGATCAGCTTTCCCAATGATATGCGCATCTTGCCGCAATCAACCGCTTCTCAAAGAAGTGAGACCGAGAATGAAAACTCTACGAACTTATGGAACGACCTAATAGATGGGGGGCTAGGAACGGCTGGCAATGGTGTCTTGCAGAAAATAAGGAGGGGATGTGATTTCTTTGTGTTAGAAAAAACTGCTGATATCTACGTCAGATGCAACTCTGTCAAAGATTGCTCTTTCGACCCCTTATCAGTCCGGATTTGAGACCAAGCTACACTGCATGCTCTAGCACCACTTCGCACAGCGCTGGAATTCAAAATTGTGCCCCAGTTCCCTTGTTTGCAAATTTGATCTGCATGCGCTTGAAAAACGTCGAATTACGTTTTAGATCTTATAAAAATTGATATGAATAAAAGTTGTGCAAACTCTTTTCCAGATTAATTGAAACTTACGCACCAGCTGAGCTGATCGGGAAGGAGAAGGAGCGGAAAGCAGTGAGCTGAGTGGGAAGTAGTACCTACGGGAAACCCTCTGGGGCATAAACCATAACGGTGCGAGTGAAGAGACCTCCGAAACTAAGTTAATGCAAGTTTTTTATCTTGACCTTATGCCTATAACCCCACGGATCTACCGAAATCAGCATGATATTCTTACGAGAGTGCCAAAAACTCCGAGGAGTTTTTGCGGACACGATTTGAAATGTTTGGTGTCAATAAATGTGGAAAAGTGCCGTTCGCTTATTGTTTTATCTTGTTTGCTGGGGTTCATAGTAATGTCCTGAGCACACGAACATTTTGCGTTGTACGGGACTCCTAAATCGCAGAGTCGTTTGCACCAGCGGTCGCGCGACCGCGTCGCGCCCGGGCATTTTGTCGACGCCGACGCCATCGATCGAGGCGGCGCCATTGATGCCAGGGCGCGGCGCGGTCGCGCGACCGCTGGTGCGAACGACTCTGCAATTTAGGAGCCTTGTAGCTAATCGTAAGCGCTTATGCGACCTTTGCTGGGTTCGTACATGGTCTTAACAATCACTGCAGACTGCATTCCTTCTTGTGCCTCTTGCGCCCCCTGTGGTATAACATATATAAACGACCCACGATGTCTTCCTAGTTGAATGTACAATGTACTAGGTTGCTGCATAAGTTCTGTCCAAATTTTTTTGCCTTATGTTTGAAGCAGCTGTTCTAACAGCATTTTATTTCTAATGCGGTAGTGTTATGTAGTATCTGTAAAAAGTGCTTTCCTTGCTCTTTCTAACGCATATCAGATTTTAATAAATTTCTTAGTGTACGGAGATAAAGGCCTAAAATCTCTAAGTGGCCGAGGTACGTTCTCACTCTAGAAATATGTTCTTGCGAAAAAATCGTCACAATGCGCCCTTCAAGTCAAGTTCTTTCATTGTCTGAGGAATAAGGGTGTGCAAGCCAAGTATATGCAGAATTTCGGTTCTATGAAGAAAACGTTTTGCTAGTGAAATTTATTGTAGAACACTAATTTTTTGTATAGATGTTTTGCAAGTAATAACTTTCTGCAAATAGAAGTAATCGATAAGCTCAAAGTTGGAGATGCTAGGGCAAAGCAAGAGCTAGCAGGGTCCATCCCCAGTTCCTTTTCGGGGCTCACGTCAGTTGTAAAGTTTTCGTAATTCGTAAATAGGCATGCACACATGTGCTGAAGCGAGGTCAAAAAGTGGCTTCTTTTTTGCTTGTTCAAAGAAATCTCTCGGCAGCGCAGACCCTATGGGCTCTTTTATGTTGCGAAATAATCTTGGAAGTTTGCTCTGTCTATCCGTTGTTGGATAAGATGATTATCAATTTTCATAAGGGAGCGTCGCCATGTCAAAAAGACAGGTTTGAAGAGAAACGCTGTAAAGTTTTTGAGTTCTTGCTTCCTTCCTTAAAGGCAGTGTCCGGGCAAAAACTCGATTTTGAAATTTTGTGCTTACCCGGGCCTATTCGCTATGCTGAATCCGAAAATCCACATTTTCGAAAACGGCGAAAAAGGGCTCTGACACTAGAAGGAAATCAGCAAGTGGGCGGGATCTTCCCCACTGTGAATTCACGCTTCCAGCTTCCAGAGCAATTTTCTCAATCCGTTAGCCGCCCTGACATCATTACTGATCAAGTGCAAACGGATGACTTAAAGCCGGAATCAAAAGATCGCCCCCGAAGCTGGGAGCATGAATTCACCGTGGGGAAGACCCCGCCCACTTGCTGATTTTCCTCCAGTATTAGAGCCCTTTTTCGTCGTTTCCGCGCTCTTTAATGTGGATTTTCGGACTCAAGATAGCGACTAGGCTCGGGTAAGCACAAACTCTCAAAATCGAGTTTTTGCCCGGACACTGCATTTAACAAGAATTTGAGCAGACCTCAATATGTTTTTCATAGCCAAGGAACTGCTCAATACATAGAAAGAAAGGTCTTGGAAAAAAGTTGACTGTGAGAGAAGTTACGACGTTTTGAAATCAAAAAATTCAAATCGGACAGAACTTATGCAGCAACCTAATATATTGCCACCTTCAAAAGCAGGTTAGTTCTAACCTTCTCGTTTTACTACGCTTCAACATAAAAATATACTTTTTTCGGTAGCAATCTATGAAAATAACTGAGTTTCTGTATAAGCGTGTATCGTATAGCATAGCTTTTGTATTGCTCCAAACAGTAACTCACGATCTACAATCGATTATTGGTCAAAGCTGTTGATGGGTATGTTCACTTCAGAAAGGGTGCTTTTCGCGGCGGTTTTTCAGCATTGCGAAAGATGATAACCTAGGTAACACAGTGTGGTTGTTCGACTTGGCGTCGCCAACTTCATCTTCTCTTATTCTAAGAGTAATTAAGTGATTGAGTAACTTCCCAATTTCTCTTTTATGTAAAAAGCAAATCTATGCGCTCCTGTGTTGCTTGCTGGTGTCTTATCACAATTAAAGTTTTTGACAAGTTGCAAGCTTTATAGGAATTTCGTAGGAAAATTTATATTGAGAAACTGTTCGTAACCTTCAATATTTATTGCGTATCAAAATCTTGCTCATTATTTTGCTCAACTTATTCGTTGTCTGTACATTGCTTGTGAAAGAGGTAAGGGTTTACTCAATCCAGTTTGAGGTGTGGTGTACGAGGTAGAGGAACGGACACAACCACCTCAATTGAGCACCGTCTCCGCGGGCTGCTGGTGCTTTCGTTCTGCTGTTGTGCATTGTGCTAGCACCAGTAGTCCGCGGAGGCGGAGCCTAAATGAAGTGTTCATTCCTCCACCCTGGTGTACGTACGGTAGTTCGAGTCACATGATATCACGCAAAAGTTGGATAAGGATCTGACTATAATCATTTGGTTTTGAGTTTGTTTTTTACGCACTTGTTTATCACATAGTGGTGGAAGTCAATGAATTTGTAAGCTAGTTTTACAAAAGATTTATGTGAAGTAGAGGGAACTTGTCTTTTCATAGTCGTTCCTGGTTAACAATCAGACACGAAGTCTCTGGTAATCCACATAAAACATTCTCTGCACAATGTTGACTTGCACAATGGCGACGATGATAGCAGTTATGCAGAATACGCATACATACATTTTGATGTAGAAGGAATTGGAGTTTTGCATTGCTTCATCACGAGATGTAATCTGAAACTTTCAAATACTTAGGACCCTCATCGAAGCTTGCTATCACGTACCGTATTCGAATGTTTGAGAGATATCGCAACTTTAAATAGAGTTGAAAGTAACTTTGTAGCTGTCTCCTGCAATTGATTGTAATGGTTAATTTGCCTCATAGTAAACAGAACAAGCTTGGGGAAATTTTATGAAATTGGCCTACAGAGGCTTTGTTGTTGTGGGGCTGAGAAGACATGAGCGGTTGCACTCATCTGAGGGGAGCAAATCTTAATGACTGGAATACAAACTTGAATAAGAGAATATCGGATAGTATCAGCGCCGCCCTTCGAAAATGCATTTTACGTGCGCAATTGCAGGACGATATTGGACGGTGGACGGACGTTTCGAATGACAATATCAAAAGCAATTGGTTCGAAAAGACTATACGACCGATACTGTATAACAGAACGTTGTGTAGTCTGGCCGTATGGTAAATTTAAATTAGGTGATTGTGCAAAAGTGGGAGTAGTTAATCAAACAGAATGTCTTAATTGCAACACGCTTGATATTGGGGAAACTGGAAGAGCATTTAGTACTTGTATTAAAGAACACCTAGCAGATAAAAAGCGTAAACATTGTATTCAGCTTTAGGCAGGCGTAGACGCGAGACGCCTAATGAAGAAGACTTTGATATCAAGTGTAAGATCTTAGCTTGTGAAAAGAAAACCTTGACTAGGAAAGCATTGGAGGCTTTCTGAATCTCTGCAAAGAAACCAGAAATGAACAACAAGAATGAGTGCTTGTCGATAACCTCTGACTTTCTTTCGTATCGTTATGCGATCTATGAATTACATTCGATTGTCATTTATGGCATAGCTTATTCTTCCTCCGCGACCATCATTTCCGGTGCGGAATGCCATATATAGCGGTGGTCTTTCGGTAGGCTCATCTTCTGTCCTGACAATTTTATTGTAGGAAAGCTGAGCGAAGGTTGAGAACTAGCCGGACTAGGGTAGGGTTTGCTGCTTAGAGTCACGGATGACGTTTTGAACCACTTCCAGGCCTCTGAGGAAGACGAAAGTGTCGAAACGTTAGGCCGTGATTGGATAAGTAAAGACCATCTAACAACGTGTGGCTCAGAACCTTGAAGAGTCAATTTACTTTTGAACGACCTGAAGAACAATAGAAAAGAAGGGACCTGAGGAAAGGTAAGTGCCCTTTTACAATAACTGGAGCCTGCATACACAAGTTCTTTTGTCGGACGAAGGCGCAACAACATCAGTTAAATGAGCGCGAAAGCGACGCGCTTGTAAATCCTACGGCTGACGAAATACGTTGTCGCCGTTGGGCTTTGCACCTTGATCCGGCTAGGCTTACATATGCGTAGATATACTAGACATTCATATACATGGGTAGCGATTGTTGGAATGGTAACAGAGAAATGTCTCAGAACTACAAAGCTTCTCATTTTTTACTTACCAAAACTTCAGTTGCAACTTGTGCAAGTTGACCGATTTTTGTCAGCGACACCAACCAATTCACAGGAACTTCGGCATAGATGCTTAGCGTCGCCCGCAGCGGCTTTTTGAGCACTACGCATATCTCATAGTCTCCTTAAAGTGCGGTTATAACTTTGGGCTAATAAATTAAGCGTAGATATGAGTTTGATAGCTCAAAGGCTATTCACATTATGATTGCAGCATGACTACACATTCTTCTTCGCTTGCACTTATACCTATTAAGAGTGAGCTATAATTTTATTTTCGCAGCACAGTTTGATTTTTCGAAAAACCAGCAATTATCCTTTATCTCGTCATTTATTGCAAATTAGCAGTCTTGTCGAACTAATACGTTCCAGGCGCATCATTGAATGCATAAATAAATAAATAAATAAATAAATAAATAAATAAATAAATAAATAAATAAATAAGTAAATAAAATAAAATAAATAAATAAATATGTTGACTATCTCATATTGATGCTTAATACAGGTAAATATGCAGTTCAGTCGGTGGTAGAGTTTAGCGCAAAACAACTCCCGTTTCTTTTACAGAAAACGAAGATTTGTAAGAAATGCGGATGTTATTAGGTGATTCAAGTTCAGCGTTCTTCACTTTTGTCTCTGATAGAATGAATTGTTAACAACTTTTCAAATGTTTACGATCATTGCGGGGGCTAAGAATCACTAGACAAAAAAGCTGGTTTTTGGTATGTCTAACTGTGATCCGTGAGAGTCGAGAATTTCGCAACTGGAACTGGAAACTGATTTTTAAAGATCCATGTCCAAGCTCACTTAGCGCTAAGTCGCAGAATTAGGTACGTCTTTTGTGACATTCGTTTCACATATCTTGCATCTTATATAATTATTTTCGTAAGTGACTGAGCGAGTAAATAAAATGTTGACTAAATTTTAACAGCTTGAAAAGCTTTCTGTGGGAAATTCTATCCTCTTCCAGACCTTTCGAGAGGCATTTCAATGTGAGACTGTTGGAGAAGACGTAGGGTGCTGTGCGGGTGATAGGGAATTTGTAATGTAGACCATCAAATGCATTTAGCATCGATCGTTTAGCTTGATGGCAATGCAATATGAGACTGAAATTCAAAAGTCTTTTGTTCACTTAAGAAAAAAAATAGAGGATGAAATGTGTATTAACGCAAGAGCACTTCTCATAATTTTTTTTGGTGTTTGTAATAGAGAGGATTATCAGTGTTCGCCACAGTTCGACAGTGACTGGGTTAATTTAGCGTATATTCTGAATATAGGTAGTCAGCAGTGGCGTACCCATGATTTCGCTCGGGGGGGGGGGGGGAGGGACAAAATTTTTTTTCGGATGAAGGTGCGTGGAGTTAGCCACGCACTCCGAAAATTTTTTTGGGGTGCTTTCCAAATTTTTTGCGGTCCCCTAACCCCAAAATTTCAGAAAAAGGGGACGGGCGGTAGCCACGCCCCCGAAAAAAATTTTTTTACAAGGCTATTTGAATTTTTAAAAATTTTTGAATATTATTTCAATTATTTACAAGTAAAAACAAGTCGCTTGCACATTTTTATAACACATTTTCTTACGCTGTTCAACACTGTGTAGTTATAAAAAGGATGGTAAGGTAGAAATCTGACAACAAATAAAATTACTGACCATTTTCTGTCAAATTATACTCCATGTTCACTTCTTCCATGCCATGCGACCACTCTAGTAGATCCCCTGATGGCGATGTCAAACGCAGTGAAATATTATGGTCGAGTACATTTTGTGGCTGAAATTAGCAAATAAATCAGCAGATATCAGATTTGTTTGATTCCATAGCGATATAGGGTGTACAGTGTGGAATAAAAAATCTCACCATCAAATTCAGGTATAGCGTTACATTTGCTTTTAAAGCCTCGTAGAAACATGTCATTTTCGAATCGAAGTCCATAGTTATCGATCTATCCACGTACATTTCGACCTCATTTTCTTCGGAAGCAGCTCCAGATAGAAGAAGCAGAATGGTCACGATAGAAGTCGACAGCATGTTGCATCGTGCGATGCCGTACTATATGTCCCATGACTAATGCACCCATATATAATCGAGGCATTTGCTTCATTTCCACGTACAAGTTGTCTAGTGTCCTTGTGTAAGAAATCATTCTGAAGCTCCTGGGCTATGTTTAATCTTATAATTCTGCTTACTTACATTCTTTGAGATTATGAAAGGCAAAGTGTGAACTATGTGGCACCGCTAACTCGTAAATTCTGAAGAAAAGTTCGATGACCACTCCCTCGAGCAACTAACGTCCCCCCCCCCCCCGACTAAATTAAATCCTGAAGAGGTTTTGGATGTGCTTCGTTGAAATGAAGTCCTTGTGTTCCAGCAGTGTCAGTGATCTATTTTCTGCATATATCCGCGTGTGTCGAAATTTAATCGAGTGTCACATCAAAGTTTGCAGTTCTTCTGTTACAATTTGTTCTTTACAAACAAGATCAAACCATGAGAAAAATGTAATTTATTGCTTAACGCTCGATAACACATACCCAGCTTCTCAGATTTCGTTCGTTCTTATCGCTCGGGAATAATGAATAGATATGAGAATTTAAGTTGTTAGTTGGTACAAGTTGCAGTACTTATTCAATCGCTTGTCTCAGTTATTGCCAATGGTCTAATCGGATGAAACCACACACAAAGTGATTCCCAAATTCGTCTTTCAACTTTTTTATTGCTTCTTTTATTTTAGTAGCTAGAGGTACTGAGATAAGTCACTTTCGTAACAAGGTATGAAAGAAGTAGACGATTTTGGAATTGAGGTTGTTTGGCCTTCGATAAGAAAGAAAAAGGCAGAGGTAGAATGAAGCAAGATATCTTTCACCAGTGATCGTCAACATCTTAAGAATACGAGAAAGAAAAAGAAAAGGAAGATAAGATTACGGAGATTTCAGTTACATAAAATACATTACGATCTTCTTCCAACTGTATGCATCGTCTTTTTGACAAAGATGTATTGTACAGATTGAGCACATTATAAGTAGAAACGAGTCAAGTCTCTGAGTAGAGGGAGGAACGCGGTAAGTCACAGCTTGTTCAATACAATAATGTGTACATCAAAGTGAACTAAATACGAATTCGTGAATTATCTACTTTGAACATACCACGAACAATAACAACTTGTGCGACAGCAATTATGACATTGCTAATACAAAATAATGTGACGTAGCCTTTGATGTAGTCTGAGTTTGAGTGTTGCATTGCTTCATCGCGTACTGATATCTGAGAAAACAGTTGTAGGTTCTTGGTACAAGCAAGATAAACGTTTACCTTGTTGTAAAATTTGATTGAATATAGCGTACTATATAATCGTTCCGTTATAGCCGTGAGAGAATTCTGTAACGAATTGTCTTTGGTTGCTCCGAAAAATGTTCAACAACCAAAATTATATCACAGGTCATTTCTTTTGGATATCCATTTTTTTCAATAAAACTTTGGTGATATTCCATTGCCACACAGTGTTACTATGATGCATTCTAGTGCCTAACAATTGAGCTACACCCGTCTTCACAGGCCTAAAAGCCGTCAGTATGGTGTTGGGTCAGGATATCAAGCATTTTTCTGATTTGCTTGAAAAAAGGCGAAATCTAATCGTAAGTAAGGACGAAAAAATCAACTCTTAAATTCATGGTAGCGAAACGTTGTGTGCTTGGTTGACTGGTGCTAGAAATGTGCAATCTTGACGCTACACAACCGCTTACATATGAAGCAATCTTTGTCCAAAATTTGAGTACTGAGGTTTTGGTGTAGCTTGAGACGAAAACTGGGGACTTCTTCAACGATGTTAGCGTGAAAATATGGCTCAGAAGTTAGCCCCCGTAGTAAGTCCCAAAGTAAAGAAAGCACGGCCGTGACATACTCGCAGGAAATCTTGCTGCTCACGACTATGCCTTGTTTCCGCAAAAGAGTTCGATGTTCGGAACTGTAATCAGGGCCACGGAAAGGCCCCAGAATGACGAAAACATGGGGGGCCAAATTCCGGGTGGACGCTGCCTTTAAGCCTGTAACATTACTCACCTTAACATTGTCCTTCATTTCATGTACCTTGAGATAGCGATCCAGTGACTTTTCCATTCTTTCTGGATTATGAAAGAAGATGTTGAGGTTGACTTTTACTGGACGAGGAGCATTCAAGCAAATTTCGTAGTCTCCATCTTCTGTGGTATTGTGCTTCATGTATGCTTCCCCCTCACCTTCTGCCCATTCAGAAAATTCTCCCGATGGCGACGTTAAGCGTAGAGACATCGGAAAGCGTGATTGAAATGCAGGCTGAAAGTTTGTTCTCATTTTTCAATCACAATTGCTAAATACTTACACTTAGATTCAACTTCAAAAGCATATTCTTTTCCAGAGTCTCGTACATACAAGTAAGTCGTGAGTCCAATTCCATCGTTATGAATCTGCCAAGCTGTACCTCTTCTCCAAGACTGTATTTCCTCGTCAGTGCTTCAGAATAAGTAGCTATGCATAATATTAGAATAAGTATTAGCATCTAAACGATTAATGTACTGACATTTTTGGTGCAGACTTCATATTCTACGGCGAGATACGAATGAAAGGTATTAGACTTTGTAGCATAGAGATGGAAAATTGATGATATGTAGGCAAACTTGTTCTGTTTCAAAATCAAACTGTTCAAGTTTCTCCTAGTCCTGATACATCATGCTTGTTCACTTCCAATTTTGAATCGTGAAAGTATTCCTCTCCGATAAATAAGTGGGAATCCTAGTAGTTTTGAAGCACATCTGTGGCTTAACGCAACTGTACCACTTCTTTGAAGGTATCAAATTACAACTGATTCCCATCAAGATATGTGGTATACTTGCTTATGTTATGAAGCTATTAAACCTTGTAGCTTCTGCCAACATTTTCACATGACGGGTGATTCCTGTCCTTTTTCGTACGAGCGTTTACTCCTGTCTTTTTCTTTTACACCACATCACTTACCGGTTCAAAAATTCTTCTCAGTATTTTTGATCACACTCTTCAAATTTTGTGGAAGTCAGTACAATTTTGCAGGGTTATCTTGGATGCAAAGAAAGTCAAAATAATTTCTTAGAAAAGCTCTTATCTTGAGAATTTTCTGCTTGTTTGCAATTATAAAATACTAGCTGGCTTACCCGGCTCCGCCGTATCCGGACCAAACTTGGCACACATACACTTCGGGCCCCGGCGGGTGTCACAGTCCACTTTTCGTTATCGATCGATGTCGATTTTACCGATTTTTATCGATTTTTTTGCAGAGTTCACCTACAGGGCTAGGAGTTGGCACAGGGGGGAAGTAAGCATGGGGATTCCGAATACAATATTAGTTTTCAAAATTATCGATTACTTTTATTGATTTTATCGATTTTTTGTAAATTTTGACATGCGAGGCTGGGATTTTGCACAGGGGGGTAATCGAGCATGCTGATTAAGAACACAATATTAGTTTTCAAGATCGTCCATTACTTTTATCGATAACCCGAAAACCAATATTGTATTCGGAATCCCCATGCTCGATTACCCCCCTGTGCGAACTCCCAGCCCCGTAGCTCAAACTTTGCAAAAAAATCGATAAAATCGATAAAAGTAATCGATAATCCTAAAAACCAATATTGTATTCGGAATCCCCATGCTCGATTACCCCCCTGTGCGAACTCCCAGCCCCGTAGCTCAAACTTTGCAAAAAAATCGATAAAATCGATAAAAGTAATCGATAATCCTGAAAACCAATGTTGTATTCGGAATCCCCATGCTCGATTACCCCCTGTGCGAACTCCCAGCCCCGTAGCTCAAACTTTGCAAAAAAATCGATAAAATCGATAAAAGTAATCGATAATCCTGAAAACCAATATTGTATTCGGAATCCCCATGCTCGATTACCCCCCTGTGCCAACTCCCAGCCCCGTGGCTCAAACTTTGCAAAAAAAATCGATAAAATCGATAAAATCGATATCGATCGATGACGAAAAGTAGCCTATGACACCCGCCGGGGCGTAGTGTATGTGTGCCAAGTTTGGTCCGGATCGGTTCAGAAATGGAATTTTCTATTCGGAACATACGTACAGACAGACAGACAGACAGACAGACAGACAGACAGACATACAGACAGACAGACAAACAGACATTCAGCTTTATATATAAGATTAGCTTAGTCTAGTAAGTCTCTGAACCGTTTCTGATGTTAGTGTGTAGCAGTGGCGTATCCAGGACTTCGGCTCGGGGGGGGGGGGGCGACAAAAAATTTTTTTCTATAAAGGTGCGTGGCGTTAGCCACGCACTCCGAATAATTTTTTTGGGATGTTTCCCAAAATTTTTCCGGGCAAAAAAACTTTTTTACTAGGCTAATTTGAATTTTCAAAAAATTTTAAAAATTATTTTAATTATATACAAGTGTAAACAAGTCCTTTGCACATTTTTATAGCACATCTAAGTAACCTTCAAAAATTTCGCGACCCATTCTCGGGGGGGGGGGGGGGCGCGCCCCCCCCCCTCGGTACGCCACTGGTGTGTAGATATCTCGTACATGTTCCTGAGCAAAGAATTAAGATCGTAATCTTTCTATTATCTTCGGCCGACGTTTCGGCGCTATCACCCTTGTCAGAGCTTAGAAAGTTGAATACAGGAAACAAAAAACTCTCAGTTAGCGAACAAGCACAAGACAAACCCAGAGGCACGGATAATCAAAGCTTCCCTCAATTGTAGTGTAGGAGGCAACTATGGAAATATCATACAGGTCAAAAAAATGTGCACACTGTTTGATCGTTAATCTTTTTCTTGCTTTGAGTTTTTCGCCGAACAATAGTTTTACCTTCTGTACAGCTGGCTTCAACTTAGATTAACAGTAGGAAGCAAAATACTAGATCTTTGTCGCTGTAGGATTACGGGGGGAACTTTCGGCATGTGAACCGTGATGGAAAGGGCCATCTAATTAATTCTTTTTCAAAAATCTGGATTAGTGTAGGAGGGTTCTGGGCAAGCTGATTTCAACACAGAGCTTTTTGAGCGATCTCAATGGTGTATTCAATTTACAAAGTTTGGAAAAATAGTTGTTACGGTATACCTGGAATAGCTTATCTATACAGAATGGTTTTTAGGGCGAAAGACATCAAAGCAGGTTATCAACGATATCAACGAAGAGTGAGCATGCTTTTTGGGGACCCTGTACTTCCGCCTTCTTTATAGTAATAAGGTGACGCCTCTTGCCACAGAACCCGCAAAGGTCCTGATATGGGCGAGTCGCTGCTTATCGCAATGCACTCTTCCTTTCCGTTCATTTCTGAGCTTTCGGCGCTGATACAAAAGGGCTTCAAAATTTTGCAAGCAAGGGCGGGCTCGCAGGATGAAATCGAGACCCCAACTTGTAATTCAGCATTTTCATAGAGCCGTAAGCGATGACTACTGAGCGGCGTGTTGGCTTCTAAGCTATTTAGATTTTATTTGTTCGGCTTCGAAAGACGCTTCTCGCATCTCAGCTAGTAATATGGAACTGTTATAATTTTCAAGATTTGGATGCTTTGAAGTAACCCTTTTTTGGTTAGCTTGATACATTCTTGCTTTCCATACTATCAAGCGGATCATTTATCTACTTCCTCCTTGAACACGTCCTTCGCTTTATTTCTGCTGCACTGTACACAAGCATGCGGACGTTTTTTCAAATTAACCTCATGTGCCTATTTGTTATATTTTATCTGATATATACACGATTCATGACCCGCAAAGACTGGGAGTGGTTGCGTCCGGCCAAGATAGTTTGGCATGGGAGAGACAGCAGATGGTAAGAGAAACGAAAAAGCGCTCGATCTAAGAGAAGCCGATACGTCCACAGTCTTTGCATGCATGCTAAAAATCGTCTGTGCTTAAGTTAGTAGCTAAATGTAGTCATCATAGAATTAATTCTTATAGCGGATGTCGCTGGCAACAACATTCTTCAATCCGTAAATTATCATAAGTTCACAGTCGCCAGTTAAATGGAGGCAATTTTTAAAAGCAGTTTTAAAACCTTTGTTGTATATCAGTTCGCACGCATGCCGATTATATGGAACGTTCATACTTGTTAAATCATATGTGGGCTCCTTTGCATCAAGGTAGCCCACAAACCCTTCAGAGTCTAGTGACATAGGGTAAAACCCGATGAGGTTCATTTCTTGTGCGGGCTCATGGCCATTCTTAAACCGGCTGGTTTTATGACATCAATTATACTGCTGCTTCACACAGTGTAGACAATGTTTAGACCAGAAAATCAATGAGATTTTTGGCGCTTTAGTAAACATGTAAAAGAGAACACCTTCCCAAAACTATCCCTGGCTTTGTTTGAGATAGTGTTCTTTTTTAGAAATACAAATGATTGACTTTTCCACACTTAGTGTTTCAAGAAAACGATAACGAGTTTATGCGTTAGCTAATTACTACCCTTCGCCAAAAAGCTGCGATCTATCTGCGAAAAGTTAGAGTGAAAGCGAAGCCAGCAAACGGTCTAACAAAAACTAATGGACGGTTTCTTTGAAATTCTGCAAACAGGGTTGAAAACGGGGGAAACTTAGCAACGCGCTATTCCAGTTGCCCGTCTAATCCCTTACATTTTTATTCGTATCTCAGAATCATAATATATGCTACCTATACTCATGCTCGACTACATCTTCTCATCTATATATTAATAAAACTCAAAATGTCATTTCAGAGGCTATGTGCATTATAGAAACGCGCGCCGCTCAACCGATTCAGCTATAATTTGCACATACATGTTTTCGACCTCTGTGCAGATGATAGGCCACTTTTTGCGGCTATTTGTTGGTTCCTCTATCGATTTATTGATTTGTTTACGTTTTTCTGAGAAGAAGAAGGCTTATCATGTTTAACCAAATATTTTCCCATGGCATGTAAAGGAGGACGGTGAAGCTTATTTCCACCCCAGGATAATGCTGCAAGGTAAGTATCCATAATAGAGAAAATGAGGTGGGGGGGGGGGGAGAGAGAAGGCTTTTGAATTGCGATAATCCTGCTGGTAACTGTTGTGTCTACTTTGTCCCCTCTGAACAATAACCCGGGCTGGACCGATGAAGACAACTAGTTTCTAATGAATCTGGCGCGCTACCTTTCACGCTATAAATTTTGCGTACTAATTCTAGTTGTTTCTACATATTTCAATTCCAGATAGCAATGCGGCTTTTTTTCTATAAAACCATCATCATATTTATGTACTTACACAGGATAACGATGAATAAATATGCAACCCAAAACATAACAATTAATCATTAAGCTGATGAGGTATTGTGATTGTGCAGAATTTAAAATATGTGCTCTCCATGTGCGCCTCCTTGGTCTAGTCGTGCTGCATATATTGAGGGGAACTGATTACTTGAAAAAATTAACTAAATTAGGCAAGTCTGATATCTCTCAATGATCACCTCAGCGATGCAGTTTGACTTGTATCAAGGAAGTGCACTTGGGATACTTAACACTTTGACACCCAAGTAACTTGATGCCAGCTCTTGTGATTCCTTAAAAAGGCAAGCAGAAGATAAAACGCACCACCCTTACGGTGAATGGTTGTTTAGAGGAAACGCAAAGGCCGTCAGATATCCATTTTGGGCATGGAGTCAAACGCTCCAACTTCTTCTTCTTGCTAGCAACGCATTTGCGCCGCTATTCCTTCTTCATGTAGCGGCCATTTGTACGTTGAAGCGCCGAATTTCTCCATCTCGCTATCTATCCCTATCCCCTAGTTCCCGTAAAGTTACAAACTATCGCTCAGAGATCATTCGAAAGGCTCCTCATACACGGATTTTCCTTGGATCTACGAAAAACATCCTGTGAATGATAACTACTTGGAGGACTCCAACGACGATGTTAGTTATGCAGAAAATAATGACGTAAAGTTTGATATAATCTGAGTTGGACTGTTGCATTGCTTGGTCCCGGACTACACGCTGAAATGGTAACATCGTTATACAAGTCAGTTCGTAAAAATAAGATATGCATGCCTTGTTGTAGCCTCTGATAGCCATATACATGTGAAAATTACGTTTACCCATCTCGCGCACTGTGTTCTGAGATAAATCAGAATCATCAAAAAGCCCAAACAAGTCAAGTTTGCTTCATATGAAAGCTTACCTTCAAATTTTCATTAATTTTATGTACTTCCATTTGGTCGTTAAGAGCTTCCTGAAACTTCTTTGGATCGTGGAAGAATATGTCCAAAGCCACCTGCATAGGCTTTGATGTGACAGCACAAATCTCATAGTCTCCTAAAGATAAACTAATTAAACTTTGAAAATGTTGCAGTGATATGCGATAGAGTACATATTAACAATTCCCAAGGCTTTCATTTTATTAGAGCGAGATTTTCAGAAATTACTGAGTTTACAATTAATCAAGAAACTAGGGGATAGGGATAGATAGCGAGATGGAGAAATTCGGCGCTTCAACGTACAAATGGCCGCTACATGAAGAAGGAATAGCGGCGCAAATGCGTTGCTAGCAAGAAGAAGAAGTTGGAGCGTTTGACTCCATGCCCAAAATGGATATCTGACGGCCTTTGCGTTTCCTCTAAACAACCATTCACCGTAAGGGTGGTGCGTTTTATCTTCTGCTTGCCTTTTTAAGGAATCACAAGAGCTGGCATCAAGTTACTTGGGTGTGTGTGTGTGTGTGTGTGTGTGTGTGTGTGTGTGTGTGTGTGTGTGTGTGTGTGTGTGTGTGTGTGTGTGTGTGTGTGTGTGTGTGTGTGTGTGTGTGTGTGTGTGTGTGTGTGTGTGTGTGTGTGTGTGTGTGTGTGTGTGTGTGTGTGTGTGTGTGTGTGTGTGTGTGTGTGTGTGTGTGTGTGTGTGTGTGTGTGTGTGTGTGTGTGTGTGTGTGTGTGTGTGTGTGTGTGTGTGTGTGTGTGTGTGTGTGTGTGTGTGTGTGTGTGTGTGTGTGTGTGTGTGTGTGTGTGTGTGTGTGTGTGTGTGTGTGTGTGTGTGTGTGTGTGTGTGTGTGTGTGTGTGTGTGTGTGTGTGTGTGTGTGTGTGTGTGTGTGTGTGTGTGTGTGTGTGTGTGTGTGTGTGTGTGTGTGTGTGTGTGTGTGTGTGTGGGTTACGAAATTCGTGGAGCATGTTCCAGCCAACCTCACATCAGATTTTACTGTAACGAGAGTCGATTTCAGGCGGAAGAATGTACGTTGGAAGCGTCTACAACGTGACTGGCTACACGTTCATGCATGCTTATGCATTCGCAGACGTTTGCGCTTATGCAGGACTGTGGAGCTGTGCCTGCAAGGCAGGAAAACGGAAGTGTAGATGCGTGCGACTTAGAACAAGCCATGTTTTACGTGGCAGACATCATCCGTATATGATCAAACTTTTCGTTCAGCAATTACGGGATTTCATGCAATCTTGAGCAGCTTTAATTCACTCGACTGAATAGTTGTGAACACAAAAATTCTCCTAGCTAACTAGGTGTTTTCGAATGGACTTCATACATATACTTTAGAATGAAGAATCTAGTTGTGTCATAAGCTGAGGTTTAGTATGGGCTGAATGCATAGATTGCACTTTCCTGCTTGATGCATGCGTACTCAGTGGTTTTAGCAAATAAAGTCTTTAATTTCTGTGAGTCACTTTTACTGGAAGCGTGGGAAAGAAATTTATCATAAGTTTATAAACTTTACTGAAGTTTTCTAGGCATCGGTCATACCTCAACCAATTCGGGAAATCGTCGTCGCCACGCGATCTGTCAATTTGCCAGGTGCTTACAAACCCATAGAATCAACCCAAAGAACCCAAACGCGCGTTTTTTGAATGCATAAAGACATCGTAAAGTAGCTGATGCAGAAATGCTAAGTTTTCCTCTTGCAATCGCGTTGCGAAGAATTATGAGCGCTCATAACAGTCCGCAAATAACTATGAAGCAACTGAATTTGCGTGGGGTAAGAGATGCTATAGATAAACTGAAGTACAAGATACTTACAGTCCGCACATAACTATCATAACTTATAATAACGGGCTAAGGATGTTTACGTGTTTTTGTGTGTGTGTGTGTGTGTCTGTCTGTCACGAAATTCATAGAACGGTTGCCAGCATCTTAAGCCCAAATTTTGCACAGCGCATGCTACCAACATGAGAGTCCACTATATCAAAGCTTGAGCGGATCCGTTTAGCGGATCCCTCAAAAATGCGCGTCAATCGGACCCACCTGGCTTTTCGTCCCCAAAATTGGGTCCGTAATTCCACTTTTTGCAGGCTCGTGGATGTTTATGGCAAGTAAATGTGCAAACCATGAACTTAGGCCCAAGAAAGTGATCAAAAGCCTTCTACTTTACAAAAACGGCGCTAAAAGAAGTGGGTTGCGTAAATGGTTAATTTGCCAAAGTTTACCTGAGCATTTGACAAGATTTTTGCACAAAGTTGTAGCTCATGGTCATTACTGCTCTAATGACTACCAAAACAATGGAAAATTCAGGAACTTATTAAAATCGGCGTTTGTTCTTTTGCAAAAAGTTTCATCCATGCAGAATAACCAATTTCGCGTGAAAAATCTTTCTAAATGAGTAGTTGTTTAAATTTTATTCGTGGTAGTCGGCATAGCGCGGTAAGTTCCAGTGCCATGATTTTACGAGAATGAGTAAGGCACATAGATTGAAGAGCCAGTGCGAGCCTTTGCGAAGCAGAGGTGACGCACTAGTTAGCTAATAAGCTACAATCACCGTCTCACATGTCTTGAAGAGATCTTTCATATTTTAAAGGCCCGATGGTTGTAAATTTGCAACTCGAACATATTGGCATATATTAACATATTAGTAAACCCCCATCATATACTTGGGTCCGAATCGAATAGAAAGTCGATCATTCGAATAAAACATTCGAATATATTCGTATTCGAAATTCGATATTCGGAGTTATTCCATTTTCGAATAATATTCGAAACTCGAATAATCCAAAAACAGGGTTTCGAATATTATTCGAAAACTCGAATAATCAAAAAACGAGGTTTCGAATATTATTCGAAAACTCGAATAATCAAAAAACGGGGTTTCGAATAGATTTTATTCGAATGTTTTATTCGAATGTTTTTCGAATTCGTATTCGAATGTACTCCGTATTCAGATTATTCGACTTTGTTGCAGAGACAAATGCTGAGTATCAAGCTCACTTCGTCCGCGTTTTTTTTCGCAAAACTTGGTAATGCATCTTTTATAACCGGTATACTTTTGAACTGTATGGAGAGTCGCATTCTTCCAACTGCTTGCGACAGCAAAAAAATCATAAGTTTAATTGATGTTTTTTCGATCAGTGAGATTGTTCGCACTGCTATTGGCACCAAATCAGCAAAGAAGATATCAAATTCAAGCTCTTGTTCTGAGTTCATACTGAATTGAAATGGCTGTTCTTCTTTTTTTGCATTTCTCATGCTTGCGGTAAGCAAAGCCCACACCAGTAAGCACTATTGCTCGCATAAATCATTTCAAAACTGCCTATTCGTTACCTTGGAGTTTTTTGCGAATTGGTGTATATTGAGTAAAGGACATCGCAGTTGTAGTGCAGGATTAGACGGTTTAGATCGCCGTACGCGATTTGCCAGTTACGAGATATCTTCAGATGTAAGGGCAGTTTACCACAAATGTTTAGCGTGTACAACATACTAAAATGATAGATGCCCTGCATTCTGTACTTTCAGAATAGGTTTTGGACAACTTGAGTATTGCCATACCACGTCGCCACTGAAATGCTTGCAGTATGCCCGGGGTTATAGGGACATTCGCGCTCGCTTCGCGGAGGAAACCACATGCCTTCGTCTACGACTAGCGTATAACACACAAGACGAAAGTCTCCGATGAACAGGCAATGTATCGTAGCATTTGTGGAATTTGAGTGCATATATGGCCACCTTATTGCTTCAAGAGATCGCACACCTAGCGCTATGAATCCGAACAGCTCGTTAGGTGCTTACACCAAGTTGCAATGTTTCTCATTTTTAGATTTTAGCTCCAGCCAATTTTATTTTTACTTTGCTAAAAACGTCTTTGAAATCCAGTGGAAGCCTGACAAATAAGGTCTGCTGTCGAACAAAGCCGCAGGATCAAGGTGTATAAATGCGGTTCTTACCCGTGCGGTGCATAACGCGCAAGGATAACGAAGTGCAGCCGCTTACACGACGCGCGCGACCGCTCAAAGCTGGCTGGTGCACCTTCACGGATTATGGATAAAAACTTACTTTATCGATTTTATCGATTTTTGGAGAAGTTTGAGCTGCGGGGCTGGAAGTTGGTAGAGGGGTAAATGAAGGCGCTGATTAAAAATAAAATTTACCATCGATTTCACCGACTTTTGAAAAATCTTGAGTTAGGAGTTGGTATAGGGGATACTAGGGGGCTGATTATAATTGGATCGGCTTTAGCCAGATATGTCGGCAAGTTTGAGATGTGATTGCTTTAGTTATTCGATAAATCATTCGAATATTTATTCAAAATTCGACTTCCAATGTTCGAATATATTCGATATTCATTCATTCGATATTTTTGATTTTCCGAATTTATTCGAAATTCATTCATTCGATATTTTTGATTTTCCGAATTTATTCGAAATTCATTCATTCGATATTTTTGATTTTCCGCATTTATTCGATATTCGTTTATTCGAGATTTTTTATTTTCGAATTTATTCGATATTCATTCATTCGATGAAAAATTATCGAATTACCCAAGTATACCCCATCAGGGCATCTCTCTTGAGGCGGACCGGAGTTGATCTCATCGCGCCTGATTTGAGCAGATCACTTACTGGACGATCGCGTTTTCAACGGTGGAACGTTCCTTCCTTTTGTGCATTACTAGTCGAATGGATAAGACTAATGCATTTCAAGCGGCAGAGCCGTTTGCTACTTGGCCTGGCGACCTTTGACAGCGGCCGTTATCGAAAAATCGATGATAGCAGCTATCAGGGATTTCACCTAGCAAACAACAAATAAAACAAATACACATTGTTTTGGCATTTATACGAGGAAAATTACACTTGGCGAAAAATGAAAAGAAAGGTAAATCTACATTTTTGGCATCTGAAGCGCTTCTTTAACAAAACAAGCAAAACCGCAAGAATAATGCAAAAAAAACCTTTTTTCCGATTTCGTCGCGCAATCAGCTATTCATCGATCCTCACTCACTTAGGCGTCCGAAATTGTGCAGTTTTGGGAGTTTGCACCGCAAACGTCAGCTGCGGTGTTTCGTAAGTTACTCGGGAGCAACTTAAGGAGATTTTCTCTGTGCTCTCCTCTTTAGCACAGTATCTATCCTATGTCGTCGCCCGGCTCATCTCCGATGGCTCGGTCGGGTGCTGATCTCCCTGCCGGGCTTCATCTGAAGCTCACCTGTAGGGTGACCTTGCATACTTATACCACGGAAAAGTAGACAGTCCTCATTTCACCCGACAAAGCCTCATATGAGGGCCTCAGGGGAGATCATCTCCCGTGACCGAGCTTTACTACGGCCATTTTTTGCAAGATGGAGAGCAATTCGAGATATGCTGCTTGAGCACTTTCTTATCCGGACCCATTTTTTCCGAAAAAGGATATTGCATCTTTCCCTATATCAAATTTAGTCATAACTTCACAGCAAGGAATGTCAACTTTCTGTCACGTGTCAAAAAATCAACATGTCATCCACACGTTTAACAGGTTTTACCAAGATTTAACCTATCTACCATGTAAATTCAGACTGTTTCTCAAGCAGTAGTAACCCCATTTTTACTTGAAAGTCTGAAAATGAACACAAACAAATTGAAAATAATATCCTGCGTCCAATGAACACGAGATTTGTCCAAAACAGAAAAGTCAGCTATTGTTCTAACATCATCAAAGCAGCGAAACGAACGGTAGTTAAGTATGGCAAACCATCACTTCTATTCTTTCCCAGCTAATTCGCATATCGTAAAATTCAAAGAAGAAGAATTTTTTAGAGTATTGCTGAAAGAGATCAGAATGCTGAATAAAAATCTTGCAGTCACGCTATGTAAAACGTTTTTGAGTCATTTCAGATGCTGCTGTACCTCACCGGATATTTTAAGACATGTCATACTAGAATTAATAAGGTAATTTTTACCATGACACATGACAGGCAGAAGTCTTTATATGATCCAAATTTTTTAGCCTGTAGCACCTATTTAATGAAGTTATTCCAAAAAACTGGGCCCGGAATGTACCTCCGCTTGTCTTGTTCCAAAACTGTGCAAACTATTTTGAACGCTAAAAAACGAGCGTTTGCAAATCAATTAGCATACCGTCTTCAGTAACATTATGGTGCATGTACACTTCATCATTGCCATTTTCCCACTCAGAGAACTGTCCTGAAGGTGACGTCAACCGTAATGACATCGGAAATGGATCTAGCATTGGCTGAATTTGAGCAATATCGTATAGGATACTATTTCATCAATGAAGCAACTCACGCTAAGGCTCACACTCAGTGTCATATTCTTTTCAAGTGTCTCATATAAACATGTCATTCGAGCGTCGAGATTCATTACAATACTTCGTGAGACCTCTGACACATTTCCAATGGAGGAATGCCTGCTGAGAGCATGAGAACACGAAATTAGAGGTAGTAAAATGAGGATACACATCCTGAAAAATTTTCCTCATAAGCATTTGGGTATATATCGATTGACAGACACTGATAGTGAATGAGTCGTCATCAATGGGATAACGGCAAAATAAAATCACTGAAGGAGGAAACAATTATTCATTTGACGTCCAATAACGAAAGTTGAGAAGAAAGAAGATTACTCATGAAGTATTCCATCGGCTTAGAAACAGGCCCATAGAGAATTTTTGTCATCTTATGAACTGAATTTTTTGGGGAAATTCGGCGAAGAGCTGACCAGGGCACGTCATAAACGACTGCAATCGTGGGGTATGCGCGGTGAGCTAGAAATATAGTCGTATCTGAAGACCAAGAAATTGAACTGCGTCAGCAACAACATGGTCAGCCAAAATCGAACCAGACAATCGTCAACTTATTGATCCAATTTCCCTCACCGGTTTCTGTGTATGCAGCTTGACTTTTTTGGTTCTATTTCCATTCTAAACGGCCTAATCAATTTCCCCAGATAGTGTGTGTTTGTATACTTGCACTTTTCTGATCATGTACGAATGAAGGTACCACATCTGCGATGAGTAACTAACACTCAAATACATGATTCGAACGTTCGCACCTTCTTGCGAATTAACACAACTCCAATCGGAAATTGGATTTCACTAGCTATCTTTTGTGCAAGCATGACGAGATCAATCCTGCTTCCGAATTTGGCGATGGTTAAGGCTTTGATTTCTGGTAGGCTTATTTTTCGGCAAAGTTCTGCTCATTCAAGCTCTATATATCGAGAGTTGGTCGCTTGCTTCTCTGGCCCACTCCAGAGATGCAAGCAACCCACACCCTCGAATTACAGAGTCTTGTGCTTTAGTAGCCTGCACTTTGAGCTACAAAAAGGCACATCCTTGACAACTAAATCAGAAACGATCGTCAGTGAAGCAAGTGTAACAAGTAATAAGAAGAATTGCGTTTGTTTTCTTGCTACATGCAAATTTCTGCAAAATCTTCCTAAAACTGGCAGCAACCTTCCTCAAATAACCTCATTTCGGACCATAGTTGCGATAGGGGGAGTGATGGATCTTGCCTCCTTCACTTTGAGGCCAAACTCCGGATGACCCCTTTCACCTGGGCTAAGATCAGAAAAAGCATCTACAGAAGAATAAACTCTTTCCGTTCCCTAAGCGTTACAGTTCCATGAAAATTAATCAACAGCAGATTTCTGCCAAACGGAGGCATAATCACTGCTGATTATCTGTCCATGTTACAGAGCAAGTCTTCATTAACAAATGTAAACCGTTGACATACTCGTAGCATTCATTTGGAGAGCAGAAAGTGAGGAAGAAAGTCAGTTATGAGGTACATAATATCCTCATATCTCGCGGCACAGAAGACCTAGAAAAAAGCCGACGGTCTACTTCGATTCTCCATGATCTCAGCTTTCGAATGGTATAAAGCATGTTAGGGCTTTTTTGCTTCCCGGCTCTAAAAAGCACTTGCTCCGGTGACCAAAAGCCAACACATTGTAAGAGCGAGGTGGAGCAAGCTAAAGTAAAAAATGTGCTGTGGATTGACATCGTCAGCACTAACGGGAATGTGAGCGAATGCGTCTATTTAAGCACGCTTATCGTTGTTATAGGTTTATGTTTTTTAGTAAGTGAAAAAGTAAGTTTTTTCTAGTAAAAAATGCGCTTTTGAGACAGTATGCCATCATTATCAGCACAGCGGCTGATAATGACAGTGGCTGCATGCACAGTGGCTTGCCGCTTGAAAGCAGCAGCGTTATTGCACGTCATCAAATCTCTGAAGTTCTACAAATACATTGCATTCCAGTTACAAGTGCTAGGAGAGATCTGCACATTGTCAAGAAATAAACAGGTGTGCCCTCCACTAAGACTGTAATTCCTGTGATTTTTTGCTTTTCTAAGACGAATCATCAACATTCTGGAAAGCTCAAACTGACCTCGACGGCGCACTCAAAAAACTATGGGAAATTGGTGGATTTCCACACCCTCAGACAACCCCCCCCCCTTCTGGAATCCATACTCTGTAAACCTAGTGCTGCAGGTCACTTTCGTGAAAACGCCCTAGACTCACCTAATTGTAGAGAATGGTTGGTTTTATGAATCAAAAACTTTGAGGCCTTCAGAAAAAAAACATGTTATTGAAATATCCTTCAAGGTTTTGGAAAGCTTGGCAGTCTGAGGAAGAAAGGGCGGGCAGAATACTTCACAAAATCGCAGATGACTCGCATGTGTTCCAGTTCCACAGCGACGCAGAAGGAGAATTTTACGCCGACGAAAATGTTGTCGACATTGATACAGAGTTGACAATTGAGCGAAACTCTCTGATTTCGTACATCAGAAATCTAAGCAGATTGCCTAGTTTCAATGAGGAAATGTCCAAGAAGTCCATTGTTGATCTTCAGGTTGCTGAAGATTTCAAGGTGCCTGCTAAATTCACGAACATGGATATGAACAAAAGGAAGGTGTTAGTACAAAGCATAGCTACTGCTCTTAGATCCCGACTGGAGTACGAACATAACTTTGTGCTTTATGCTGCTGGAAGATTTTCGCCTTGTGACATTACGACCTATGATATTGAAAAAAAAAAACCAAAGCGCAGCATAGTATCTAAAGCATAAAGCGAAAGCATATGCGATTTGGCTCTTTCCCAATTACAAAAATCTGATGGGCTTACTAGCAAAGCTAGTTTCCATTACTAGCACGGCAGAGGTGGAGAGGGGATTTTCTGTCTACTCTATTATCAGAACACAACGCAGAAGTCGTACAACGGTGGAGCATCTGAGCAATCACCTAAGGCTTGTCAACCTTCTACTAAACATATTGTTATCTAAAAACTTCATTTAAAGGATTGCTATAAGTGGTCCAAACAGGTTTCCACCGCATGACTTTTTGAAATATCCTAAAAGATGGTATGAAGAAACTGGTCACCTACCTACTGACTTTCCTGGTGCTACCAGAAGGCCAGGAAAAAAATCACAAAAGCGCTCAGAAGAGGAGGAACGTTTCATATCCATTTTCGGCTCAGAACGCTTTTTCACGCAATTCTACTTCTACTCCGATGACCTTTTGGAGGAAGAAGAAGATTTTTCAAGCAGCGAACTTCTTGTCTCTGACGTTAGCGATAGTTTGTTGATGATGATGTGCAGGAATTGTAAGTTGTTTCCTAACTTGCACATCTTTTGGGATAAACCTTATTGCTTTCGTTTTTTTTGTTGATGCAATGAAACAAGAGCACAGATCTTCACAAAGTCACAATATTCAAACTTCACTTATGTAAGATACGTTGGCGCAACATATTGCTAACACATGACAAAGTTTGTTCAGATAAATTTGTAACGCGTCCTCCTTATTCTGCCTCATCGCAAGCATGACTTGAATACGGTACAAATTATAGCTCTTCATACCACGTTTTTTTACTTTTTCTCTCTTCCTCCCCCCCCCCCCCCCAGGCTCACATACTCCCTTCAACCTGGAAGGTCAGAAACAACAGAACCCCCCCCCCCCCCCTCCCTTCTTCGCCTAGGGAGAGCCCTGCTCCCCCTCACCCGGCTCCCTCTCTCGCATCTATGTTTCGGACAACAAAGGAGTCTCAGAATTTCACAAATACTGTTGGATTCCCATGAGAACCACAACGCTCTCAAGTATTGCGCAGAGAGTCGTGCGTTTTGCGATTTATCTCGTTAAGAGTGAATTTTCAACGTCAGCGACATTGTCAGTGCACTTACATGGGAAGGATACTTGGTGATGGTGGCTATTTGTAATGAGACACATATCACTGAATGCATCTTGAAATGCTAATTTCAAATGTGCTTTCGATGTGCATTCGCTAAGCCATGCGATTGCCTAAAGTAAGTTGGAAGCTTTTCCGCGTAATGTTTACACATTGAAATATGATCAGAATTATTGTTTTTGACAAGGGAAGTGTCGCAGTGAATGTTTGACATGAAATAAGTATCATAAGCAGATTGAAAAGCTGGCTCCAAAACAGGTTTCCTGCACAACAAGTCTAGTGCAAGGTTATGGGCATTTTAATCATCAAATTTTACATTGTTTAGAGTACCCTGTAATCAAGGAAATCGTTCGAATGCTTATCAAGCACTGCAGCATGACATTGAAGAAGGAGTAGAATTACATTAAGCATTGGTAAACTATCTCATCTAAGTCTAAGTCCACTAGCTCGGATTTTGGCTGCTCGTACAATCTCGCAAATCAAATTCAATAACTCCCGGCCCAGATTCATTGTGCAGCTAAGAAAGGCTGTTTCGAGAACAGCGTTTTAAGCTGCTTTAGACGATAGCTATTTCATATCAGAAGGTCACCTGCAACTTCTGACTCTTCCCTTATAAGCTATTTGAGAATAAATGTAATTAAGACAGGTTGACTAAATTCAAAATAACTACGCTCTTTTTCAAATGTTGTTGCAAGGAGAGGACGAAGAGAACTGGGCAATGCTTATGATTTTGCTCAATTAAATGTCCATCATGCACATCGGGATTCATCGGGTGCTATCTAGCCAAAGATTTGGGAATAATTTTAGATCCTTGCTTCATTTTTTCGGAACACATAAACTACATAGCCAAGCAGGCTCACAATGTTCTACACACCATATTCAGTAGTAGACACTATCCAGTTATTGTTTCAAATATGGAAACTATATCGTAAGAAAGACTTCAAAAGACCAGTACAACAAATTTTTACGCGTTCGGTATATCAGATGCTCAAAAAACAAGACCTCAAGGATTTCCTCCTACAGAAATGTCTAACATTGTACGGTATAAGAAACTTAGAGCACCGCCGAAAGTTGTCTGACACGCCATTTTTTGCCTTGGTTAAGATGAATTCAACTCCGAAGTTAGCAGGCATTGAGTCCAGGGGTGCGATAGGTGGAGCCGGGCCCCCAAAAGTGAAGGTGGTTCCAGCTACCACTGGCCGGCCAAAAGTGAAGGTGGTAGTGCCGGACACTCACCTCCCAAAATCGAGGGGGGGGAGCGTTAGCGTCGACTGAGCCTAT